TTAGCAGTCTAATAAGAGTTTCAAAATGCTCTGTGCCTCTGCCAGCAGGGCATATGTATGTAGACATGTGCTTGTGACAGATAAGTACATAAACAGCATATTGGCACCAGAAAGACATCTGTGCCTAGAAAAACGCTTGTGATATGTACATAAATGACATTTTAGCTCTAGTCAAGTCCTTGTGGCTTTGAGAGGAATATGTGACTATACTCTTCTCTGTGAATATTGAAAAGGTGCATCTTAGGAAGGAGAGAATTTTGGAGGTTTACCGAGAGCCAAAGGAAGAGCTCTGGTGTGGGAACCCGATGCTAAGCACAGTCCAGCACCCCCAAATCTGCCTCGAAGTGGCCACGTGAGCACATCACTGCACGGAGCTGGCGAAACCAATGAACGAAATCTTGTCCTGAAGACCAAAAAGTGAAGGTGTTTGGGGTGTGGAGGCACAGACGGGTCCCCATGTGCTTCCTGTTACCTGTGTGTAATTATTTGGCTGAGAAATGTGAAGAAAAGCTCTTCAGCACAAATGTCTTCTATGGCAGAAAAGGGAAATGGTGGTTTGTTACAGAAGGGAACCAAATGTGCCATCCTCTGGAAACCTTCCTGGGTTGCACCAAGGGCCACTTCATAGGTATACTCATATTGTTCAGCTTAGGCTCAAAACACCTTAGTTTAACCATTCACAGTGACAGCCACCTGTTTTACAACTTCAATCCATTCTGGAAGCTCCACTGCAGCCCGGAGGTAATAAGTGAGAGGTATGTAGGAGAGTATTTGCATCTACTCCTAAGTAGGAAAAAGGGAAGATGTAAAATTGGAGGTTTGAGTATTTGCCATGCACACATAGAAGTAACGAGGGGACTCTCTTCCCCGATTTTGGGGCTTGGAGTCTGACTCCCTGAGATATTTGAGCCCTGAGCTCCCATGGGTGAGCTTTTGTCCTGGTGAAGTCACACCAAAGTGTGGAACTTTGGCTTTTCCTCCTTTTAGCACTGGGTTCAAGCACATACTCCGCAGATTGCTCCAGGAGGTACGGGTGCTGCAGTACTCACAGCTCCTCACTTTCTGCAATTACAAATCTCCCGTAGGTTTCACCAGCTCCAATAACACAAATCCTAAAAGGAAATGAATGTCCAAAGCCGCCATCACCTCTGGGTCCATTTGGACTCACCTGGGTTGGATCGTGAAGCGACAGCTGTGCGTGCACAAAGCCCTTTGGGACGTGACCCCATGCACACAGTGGAGTTCTTCACTAGCAAAAACGTTTTTTGGGGATCTGATGTGAGAAAGAAAGAAAGAAAGAAGCAGCAAAATATTCCCTGCTTCCTTTGACTTTTCGGGGCCTGTTGGTTGGCATGGCCAGGTGGGCATCCCATACCTCCTGCATCCCCTGGAGGTCCTGCAAGCTGCAAGGGGAACCACAGAGCTGTTACTTGACTGCAGAAAAAGTGTTCAGGGGGAAAATTGTCTCCAGTCATTCTCATTTTGCATGTGATTTTTCCTACATATGTTTCTAATCATTAAGAAATTCTGTAGCTTAAATAATGCTCTGGAAGTACGGTAACTGTTGGACTACATTCTGTTGTAACCTTATTGAATTTCACTTCTCTGGAAAAAATAATGGGATACTATATCTTGAAAAACAAATGGTAATTGAGTTTTTAACAGAATGTTTCTCTTTGTGTTTCAAAACCTTCTGCACACAGTTAGACATCTAGCCAGGGAAGAAGGTACAAAGCATATGGGCCAATTTCTGTCTGTTGGCTGATCAAGATGCCTTAATATTTAAGCAGTGTTGGGTGTGTGTCCATGCAATATGGCACAGTGTATCTCTCTGCCCGATACCCATGAGCTCAGGTGAGATGGCCAAAAATTTTACACCATGGTTAGAAGAGCATTCTAGGAGGAAACGAGGAAAGTGGGCTTACAACCTGCTCCCTATTAGGTGTTGGCATACCATCCTTATCCTGCATGAATTCACATTTTGGCTATTAGACAACAAAGGGTTTATATTCCTGTGTTTGTGGTGCTGCCCAGGGACACAGGCTTACCTTCTAGGTGACAAGGTTTTGCAGAGACTACAGAAATAAGAATTGTCCAACAATTTTTCTTTGCCCATACGCCGTAGTGCTGTGATTTCCTGAGTTCTCTGGGGATTTACACATCACTGTGCTCTGATTTGATTAAAAGCTGGGACCTGAAACAGCACCATTGCAATGGTAACTTACAGGTGTTACTGCCTACTAAGATTAGGAGAGACATGGTAATGCTGGAGTATTCTTCTCTGATTTTTAATAAATCTATCAAGTTAGGGACTTTGTGAAGAGATTCATTTGGACATGGGAATCTTCAAGGCAAAGTAATAGGCATGAGGTTTCTGACTGACAAGACACATGTGAGTACATGCAAAATGTGCTCCTCCAGCTAAAAATAACATTTCTCCTGTCAACCACGATGCATCCACCCCCACAACACCACCCAGAAGAACACATTAACACCTTGGCTTTGCACGTAGCCCAATTCACAGCAGCCACAAGTGGTAGAGGGATCTGCACTCTGTGTGCATGCTGACAAATCATATGGCATAGCGAAGAACAGAGGAGTGAAACTGGGCTAGCAGAAGTTGACGCCTTATCATCACAGTCCCTTTGAGCATGCTGTAGGCTGACACCTCCACCAACCGAGTCATCTCCCTGATGCCAGGATGAAGAGCACGAGCCCACTATCCTGATTTAGCCTCCACTGCACCACACTGAGAGGGTGCAGTGATGTAAAGAGGTAAGGGATCAGCCCAGGTGCACCAGCAAGGGGAAGCAATGAGTGCCCAACCACCACTGCTCACAGCTGTGTTACAGAGATGGTACAGTACAAACCAGTGATGTGCAATGTTCCTCCCATTATGGATCCAGAGTTTGTGCCCAATCCCAAAACCTGTAAATGATATTTCAAACCTAAGAGTGTTGGGTTGCAGATAGGCATCACCCTTAAGAAGACATCCTGTGCTAACTAAGGTGCAAATCTGTCATGCAGTCTGTATGCAGCATAGCAGTCAATAAGTAGAAAAGCATATGGACAGTAAAGAGAAATAGAAATCAACATCTTTTGCCCAAAGATTATTTCCCATGAATATGTGATGTTGTGTTGCTGTTTTGTTTTTCTAAAAAAAATTAAAGCCTTCTAGAAAATGTTGAAGAAAATAAAAAATTACCATACATAGAATCCCAAAATTGCAGGGGTGGGAAGAGACCTCAAGAGATCATCAAGTCCAGCCCCCTGCTGAAGCAGTCCTCTACAATAGGTCACATAGCTAGGCATCCAGATGGGTCTTGAATATCTCCATAGGAGGCTCTGCCATCACTTTGGGCAGCCTGTTCCAGTGCTCCATTCCCCTCACCATAAAAAAGTTCTTCCACATGTCAACATGGAACTTCCTATGTTCAAGTTTTGGACCATTACTCCTTGTCTTATCATTACGTACCACCAAGAAGAGCCTGCCCTCATGCATTTGCCTCCCACCTCCCACCATAGATATTTATGAACATTTATCAGATTCCCCCTCAATGTTCTTTTCCCCTGGCTGAACAGATCCAGGCTCTACTAACATTCTCATCATAATTTCTAGGCCAGCCATTTTAAAATCATTATTGACAGTTCTTCATCATTATAAATGTGGCTTGTGAAGTGCAGTTCTTAAGTGGTGACATACGTATAGATAGACAGATATAAAAGATGTGGAAACACATCAAAGCTAAAATATTGGCAGCTGACACGAGGGTGGTTCACGGACATGAAGGTCACTGTCGGTCCATTGCAGCCTTCCCCTGGACAGCATGAAGCTTTATTCAGAGGGGCTTTGAGGAAATCAGGGAGATTAAAATAAGTAAGTTCCAATCTCTCCTTTAGCCAACAAGCACATGAGCTTGTGTTCTCACTCTCAGAATTAAGCTCCTTTAACTCTCATCTAAGTTGAGCCTAGAGCTCTCACAGTGCTTCCCTTGTCCGAACTTCACCTGACTCCAGCAAAGCTGAGCAGGCTTTGGTGGATGCTGAAGGCATCTAGGCCTTCCCAGACAGTGCTTAGAGCTTAACAGGATCAGCCCCTTGGCAACTTGCATGCTGTCCATCACCTCAGATGCCTTACACTTTTTAACTTACGCAAGGCCCACCATATGTAATTAGCTAAGTGAGTGTCATGGCTTTGTGATTTTTGGTTTTCGGTGTTCCACATCGTAACACCATGTAGCGCACTGGAAGTTAAAGCGTTAATGCTCCAGTTCCAGGTACCTGTCCAGGTATGCCATAGAAGTCATGGAATCTGGCCCTTCCTATTTGGGCGGTCTCTTACTGCCTGGCAGTGGGTGCTGGAGGATGCTTTCCTAGCCATTCCAAGCTTTTCAGGTTTGTCTGGTCTCAGGAACTCTCCCTCTTCCCTATTTTATTTGGTTTATTAGTCTCAATTTCAATTAGATTGTATTATATTGTGTTATCTTGCGTTCTGATATCGCAGTAAAATAAGTTTTCCTGCATAGATCATCGCCGCTGTTTCTTTTCCCTTCCTTGAGCCCAGCTCCCATCTTCCTACCCCCTTTCCCTTTTCCTTCCTATTTTGTGGGGCCCAGGGGGGCAGGGGCCTACTGGCCCCCTGTCATGGGCATGGATTGATCTAGTTAACTCCGTGACAGTAAGCTGCTTTCTCTTAACCTCAAATGTTTGTAATGCTTCTAATCCTGGTTAGGTATCTGTATAAAGGAGCTCCTTGTTAAGGGCAGAGGGGAGGAATTTTCTTCTATAAGGAAATTAGGTCCTTGACCGAGATGTAAAGCCAAAGATTTGAAAGATTGCACTGGGCACAAGCTGTCTATGCAAAGCAGCTTGCCCGTGGCAAGTCCTGTCCCAGTGAGCCATGGGCATCCTCGTTATTTTTCTTCACTAGTCTGTCCTTACTCCTGTTTAACAGGAGTTTAACACCAGCATCAAGTGCTTTCCTGGGACGAAAAACCGGGAGTTCGTCAACCAACATGGAGTTTCGCTTTTGGCCCATTTCCCAGTTGGAAAAGCTGAACGCTTCGATGCTCTTGGTGGTTCTTGTCATGCTTCTTTTGATTATTGACTTTGTGAGGAAGAGGCGTCCCAGGAATTTCCCTCCAGGGCCACAGCTATTTCCTCTTGTGGGAACCATCGTGGATTTAAGGCAACCTCTCCATCTTGAGATGCAGAAGGTAAGATCTTCATGGACATTTCTCCTACTATTAATATTGTACATTTTCAGTGGTTTTTGTCACCTATCAAAGGCAAAACGGAGGCTAGTTCTGCTTTACAAGCTGTATAATAACAATGTAGGCAACTATTGGGTTTATCCCTTACCACCATCCCCTCTTCCAAAGGAGTTGGACAGTTTCATCAGAAGGGAATTTGTACCAGAGGAAAGTCTGCATGTTCCTCCTTTTTCTTCCCATTTTAACACAATCATTGTGTGCTTCAGCCCAGAAAGGGTTTGGAGGCTATGGGTCAGGATGGGTGAGGGATAGTGGGAAACAAACTTTGAACAAGGAACTTCACCTCTGAAAATTGTATTGTCGTTGTCTGTGCCCAAAGATCTGCAATTTGCACCATTACATCTGAAAGAAAGACTAAGGTCCAAAGTTAAACACCTCTGTGGCTGCTTCTGTGTCACAGGAAGAGGCAGTGATAACTTTAGAAAGGTTTCTTTGACTCCCACCAAAGCCAACAACAGTGATAATTGATACATGTGGAGTACCTTGTCTGAGAGACTGGGAGATAAGGTTCTGACGTGCTGGTTGCAAGTTTCCTTCTGGCGATTGACATTTAGTTTCTTGCTTCAATTTAAAAGAGGGCCCCATCTCATCTACCCCAGCCATTAGCAGGGGTATCCTCAAGGGAACAGAGTACGCTCAGGTCATTTTAACATTTATAATTATTACTAATAAGATTAATCACATTCATCTGCATGCAAGCACTGGCAGAGCTGCCCATGTGATCCCAGGCTCATTTCAGTAGCCACCATGTGAGTTCAGGGTGACCATGCATGTCCTCTCCTGCAGAGTCACACTAAGGAGCATGCACATTGAATTCCTTGGCAAATGAGGACCCAAGAGAGGATATAATTGTCCTCTGCCCTTATACATCAGGGAGCTAAATGCTGAAGAGGAGAGGCTAATGCTAGCAATGTCCATGCAAGGAAAATGGCTATAAATTGGCTATAAATGCATTCAGGCTTAAAATTAGAGGAAGTTTTCTGAGCATCAGCAGTTGGAGCCACTTTCTAACTGTGACAGCTGGAGCAAGAAATCTCACTACTTTAAACAAAGTTGGTGAAATAGACTGTGTTGTGCCTTGCTTTCAACAGCAAGAGCCTGGTCTCAGTGACCCAGGTGGAGCCTTCTTCTCCTTCACTCTTTCAGTGAAGAAGAGGGAAGGAGCAGGTGCCCATCAGTCAAAAAGTCCTTGGGTTCAAGTTAAATTGACACAACAACCTGGTAAAAGCCAACATGCAAATCATCCCTGCCACACTACAGTTCACTTATATTCACTTATATTCACTTATAATATTTCTTATGCCATCTCCAGCCTTTGCAGAATAGTTTAGGTTGGGTGGGACCTGTGGAAGACTTGGGTTTGGATTTTTCTTAAGCCCAACCCAATGCTCCAAGAACTAAATTCAAAGTTAGATCCCGGGTCTTGTCTGTCTTCTTGCCCTCAGAGAGTAATGGACTCTCTTTCAGCTTACTGCAAGGTATGGGAACATCTTCAGCGTGCAGTTCGGAGGTCTGACTTTTGTGGTAGTCAGTGGGTACCAAATGGTGAGAGAAGCTCTTGTCCACCAGGCTGAAATATTTGCAGATCGGCCGCATATTCCACTTCTCCAAGAAATTTTTAGAGGCTTTGGTAAGTATAGCTTCCAAGATTTTGGCAATCTATTTGCAATGATAACAATTAGAGCGAAGGAGGCTGAATTCAGCCCTCAGTAACTGTGCCAATAAAAGCCCGTTGTAGAGGAAGACAAGAACTGAACTCAGCCTAATCTCACAGATATATATTTGAATCTGTCTGGGATTTAGGGATAACACGGGGATCAACGTGATGTGTTGAGTCAGGTGAAAGACAAGAAACAAATGCAGGCTGTCCAGTGCCTCTTGAACAGTGTTCCCCTTGGATTTATCTCCCCTTTACTTTCTTTCCCTGGCTACATGTAGCTCCAGAGGCGGGTTCTGCTGCTCCTGCAGCAGCTCTGCCAGCAGCGTGATCGTACTCAGAGTATTTTGGCTTACACCTTTTTTTCCCACGCAAAGTGACAAAGAAGAAAATCCATAAAGCTAGATATTTAGCATAAGCCAATTACCCTTGAATTTTAATTCCCAGGCGAAGCTATAGCTTCCCCATGTCTGCTGTTCTTACTTGCTTTGGTTTGGGGTTTTTAAGACCGATTGCCATTTCTGAATCCTGTCACTCACGTTCCACACAGAGCTAGCTTTTGTTTGTCTGTTTTTCTACAGGTCTCATATCCTCAAATGGGCACATATGGAGGCAACAGAGAAAGTTTGTCTTAGCGACGCTGAAAAACACTGTGGTCAGTTTTGAGTCAAAAGTGCAAGAAGAGAGCCAGTACCTCGTGGAGGCAATGGAGGAAGAGAAGGGTAGGCGGTCCTTGGGCAGCACTGTGCCCAAAGCTTTCAACAGCCTCTTACCAGATGAATTCACACCAGTGTGACTCCTAATATGCAGAGCAACTCCGCAGTAGCACAAATCTCTATCTTAGGCTTCCAGATTGTGCTTTTTAGGCCTGCCATTTCAATTCTTCCTAATTAGAATTAAACGAATGTATACTCGGTGCTTATTAAAATCGGTATGTTTATGTGTCTAAGAAAGCCCTTTCTATAGCTGCAAAGGCAGAAATGCAGCTCTCATGATATCAAGCACATTCGCTCAGAGGCTCCGTTAACCTCTGCTTGTCCTTGGCTTTGCAAAGTATTTTAAAACTTGTTTAGTCAGGCTTTCTTTTTGTATCATGCACAGATGAAGCGTGTGCTTTGCTCTTTTATGGTCCGGCTTTTAAGAAGTGCCAGAGAGATATTAGTAAGAATAATTTGTATGTTGGTATATGGGTGATGTAGCACTTCAGCTTTAAATAGAAGCAGATGGGGTTTAGCTAATTCTATGGAGCTATATATAGTAAACAAGAAAGATCTAAATAGGAATTGTGAAATTATATACTGAACTTGCTCCATTTTAATTGCAGTTGCTCTGAACAGGCCAAATACTTCATGTTGCCAATTGATTATAGTCCTTTATAGTCCTAATCAATAAACTAATTAAGCTGCAGTTTCGGGCCTTTCTTCCCATTAGTAATGACAAATAGTGATCTTGTCCATCACTCCAGTATCTGAGCACCAGCCCAGCTTAATTACTTTCTCAGAGTGGAGAGATGAGCAGTGCTGTGCATGGTGCCTTGCATCTCAACATGATGCTCCCCACTGCGCCGGCACAGCTCAGAGCCATGCTGGACTCATTACAGATATTACTCTCTCCTATCACGGCAAGTAGTGATGTGGGCTTTCTAAGTGTGCCCTGGGAGATGGTAGCCTCTGCTCGATAGCTCTCCTGAGGAAAGCAGATGTGATGAGCATCACGCCATGCTTTGATCCTTTAGGAGCCAACGTGCATCATTAGGACCAGAGGGAATGGTTTCAAGCTATGGCAGGGGAGATTCAGGCTGGACATGAGGAAGTATTACTTTTCAGAAAGGGTGGTCAGGCACCGGAATGGATGCCCAGGGAGGTGGTGGAGTCATCGACCCTGGGGGTGTTCAAGGAAAGGCTGGATGTTGTGTTGAGGGACGTAGTTTAATGGGAGCTATTGGGAATAGGTGAACGGTTGGACTGGATGATCTTTTAGGTCTTTTCCAACCTTGGTGATTCTATGATTCTATGATTTATGTCTGTTGGCCATGTGAGCTATTGCTGGATTTTCCTGCTTGAATTCCCCATGATGTGCGGCCAAAGGCCAATACAATGACATATTTGCAATGTGATTGGTCTTAAGTTTTCTGCCCCAGGCAAAGGTTTGGAGGGACCTTCTCTTGGTGTTTGATGGACTCCAATAACGAGTTGGAGCAAACAAACCCAACAGCCATAACTACTTGTTACCACTGGGAAAAGGCTCAGATCCTGTTTCAGAAGCTCTGTGCTAACTCTGGGGTCTGCCACAGCCTAGATGTAAGGGGATGTCCTTGGAGAAAGGATGCTGGGGCACACAGCACCTAGCTTTTAGAGGTAGTGGGGATCCCAAGACAAGGGTGAAGTCTCAGCATCACCATGAGTAGGTAGTAGATGAGGCCTTACCCCATTTTCACATCTGTTGTGTACAGAGTGCTATATCTGAGATTGAAGACTGAGCCTCACAGTTTTCATTTTGTTCCCCTCAGGGCAACCATTTGACCCTCATTACAAAATTAATAGTGCTGTTTCAAATATTATCTGTTCCATAACTTTTGGGAACCGCTTCGACTACCATGACAGCAACTTCCAGGAATTACTGCACTTGCTCGCAGAAACACTGCTGCTGATAGGAAGCTTCTGGGGCCAGGTAAAACCAGACTGCTGCTTTTGTAATTTCAGCTCCATGTAAGTGCTTGGAAATGATTTTCTAAGGTACTGAAGTAATCTGCTTTTCCCTGTAGAAAAAGAGTCGTGTTGTAAGAGAAATGACCATGGGTATTAATTTACATGGGGCTGGGTTAATCCATTAAATCCATCAAGAAAGCAAGCGAGTTAAAATGACTGAGGCACATGGAGGAAAAAAGATTGTGGGATTGTAAAGTCAACCTTGTACCAAGCAGAACAGAAGAGCAATGGAAGAAAGAAAAAAATACCTTTTAAACATCTACATTTCCACAAAAAGAAAATAGTAGCACTCAGTCAAAATTCCCATCTCCTCCCTTCTACCACTTTCCCAACCAAATTCTGCACTGCTTGTGTTGTGTGACAAGATGAATGAGATCCTAAGTTTATTACCAAAATAGATGGCTCTGGGAACTGCCATAGCTTCCATATTGCCACACACCTTGGACCGGACAAAATGGTCTCTGCCAACCCCAACACCAGTGGGCTCCTCCTCATTGACTTAATTGACCTTCGTCTCAAAACTGATTTATCCTTTGAGCAAGTGGAACTAACAATTTGTACTACAATCTCAACTGTGAGACCTGACCTTTTTTCACCCCAGTAAGTGCTTTTGTGCTCTGTTTGATTTCTCACCAGCTGTATAATGCTTTCCCTCTGATAATGAGATGGCTACCAGGGCCCTTCAGGAAAATCTTCAGGCACTGGCAGAAACTTCAGCGTTTTGTGAGGGGAGTGATTGCAAAACACAAGGAGAACTTGGACCAGTCTGACTTGGGAGATTACATTGACTGTTACTTAAAGGAAATAGAAAAGGTGAGAGGGAAATACCTAAGGCCACTTAAAGCTTGATCACCAAAACGAGCAGACAAGACTCAAGGCAATTTTGTTAGAAGAGCTTTTTCCTCCCTTACTTCTTTCATGTCTGACTTTTTAGCAGCAGCAGGAGTTTGATCGCTTTGAAAACACATCGATTTTTATATATTTTTTTTTCATTTGGAAGTATTTACACTTTATCTTCTATTTCTCATTCTGTCAACTGGCATAGGAGGGCTCTAGGGGAACTTATTCATGTTCCTATGAGAATTTGCAGGAGGGTGTTTTGGTTTTGGGTTGGGTTTTTGAAAGCATCCCCTCTCTAATAAGCACTTCTTTTTTTTTTTTTTATGTAAGTTTAAGGATGACACCAACTCCTATTTCCATGAGGAAAATCTGCTCTGCTCCACACTGGACCTCTTCTTGACTGGGACAGAGACAACAGCAACCGCCATCCGCTGGGCTCTGCTCTACATGGCTGTGTATCCCCACATTCAGGGTAGGGCCTTCATCACATAGCCCAAAACCAGATAAGTGAAACAGAAAACTCAGTTGTTTGTAGGCTCACCACACAGGCCATGTGCAGTGGAAGTGCTAAGTCACTGCTTGAACCACTGATTGAGCACCTGGTGGGAAGGCAGGGCAAACACGGGGGAGCTCAGGTGCATGCAATGTACCTGAGTGACTTGAAAGGGTGGAGCCAGGAGTCACTCTTTCACAGACCTCACTTAAGGGTTGGCAGAGGAGGTGAGAGCATCTTGTTTGAGATCTCTGCCTATTCAAGGACTGTATGGGCCTTCCTGAGGTAAGTGAATTCTTTTTGCTTTTTCTACACCTACTGTTATTACATCTGAGCAGCCCATCCCTCACCTTAGTACAACATCTTGCTGCCCTTCCTTCTTGTAACAGATGTGCCTGTGGCCTGGCTTTCTCATTCAGAAGATTTTGAGCACACGTATGTATATATATTTTTTGTTTCTGTAGAGAAAGTGCAGCTTGAAATTGATGCTGTGATTGGCCAGTGCCGCCGGCCCACCATGGAGGACAAGGAGCACATGCCCTACACCAGTGCAGTGCTGAGCGAGGTGCTGCGAATGGGCAACATCGTGCCATTGGGAGTGCCCAGGATGTCCACCAATGACACCACCTTGGCTGGCTTCCACGTGCCCAAGGTATGCCCAGGACACAGCCCTCCCCTCACCTGTCGGCATGGGGTCTCCACAGCCCCCATCCCAAACCTCACTTGGAGGCACCAACCTGCAGCATCTTGCAACATCTCTCATCTGTGGAGTAGTCCTGGCAGATGCTGTAGGGCTGTTTGGATCTCACCTCTTTATGGAGGGGAACTGTGAGATTCTATTTTGTTGGTCATTGCTTTCATATTTTTTTTCAAGGCTTATCTCTCAGGTTTTACAGAAGATGACTTGCATGAATTTTGGAAGCAGAGGTCCAAGAAACACAGGAAAGCAAGCAGTTTGGATTTGTTAATTCCACGGAGTATTAGAGAACATCTATTAAAATAGCCCTTGATAAATGCCAAGTAATGGTTATTGATGAATGTACACTGTTCTGACATTATGAAAGCAAATACGAGATTTGGATAGATTGAGTCTCTTGCACAGACATGATCAGTTGCTTCTTGGCAAATTAAAAATTAAAAGTTCTGGGCATCTTGCTGCGCATTGATTAGAGCATTTTTTTTAATTTCTCCTAATGGAAGATAGGAAGGTAAACCAGATACAAGCTTTTGCCCTTGTTTAACCATGTTGGTTTGGAAAAACATCTTGTGTGTTTAAAAAAAGTGAAGTATCTTGCTTCGTGTGTGTAGAAAAGAGCTAATAGTAACCCAGGCTGGCAGCATGTTGGCTCTTCATGGAACCTCTTGTTTCCTCATCCTTTCAGGGTACCACGCTGCTGACCAGCCTGACTTCAATAATGTTTGACAAAAACGTGTGGGAGACTCCAGACACCTTTAATCCTGAACACTTCCTGGAGAACGGCCAGTACAGGAGGCGGGAGGCTTTCCTGCCCTTCTCTGCAGGTAAGAAGATGAATGGGGAGATGGTGTTTTTTTTTTTTTTTAATGCTTTTTCTTCACCCCACTGGAGTAGGGAAGAACTGTTCCCAGTCTGATAACAGCTCATGCCTGGCATTTCCCACAGTGAAAATCCCCTAGTAGTTAATACTGACTGCTGTGGGCAGGAGGGAGATCAATTTGTTATTGCAGGATGAAAAACAAGGCTTTTTCCTCCTGCGTGAGTTGGGTAAATGGGTGGGTTTTTTTGTTTGTTTGTTTTCTTTTCTTTTCTTTTGAGTGTCCCCCCTTTGCTTATCCGAACGGTTTCATCTCTCTGCTGAGCTGGGAACTTCTGGGGATGTGTTCTGCACGATGTGTGGGTGAACATTGCCACCTAACCTTGCTAGGAAGAAAAGCTCCTGCAGCCTTTGCAATGCAGCATGGGTGAAAGGAGCCTGGAGGCTGCAGAGACCCCAGGCCATCGCCCTTGCTCTGCAAGCACTGTCCTTCTCTGTGTCCCATGGCACCACTGAGCCCATCTACCCCCTTGCACAACACCCTCCCATCTGTGAGAATAGCAATTAAGGGTGATGCTTAAACTCTGGACTGAATGTGGTTTTCTTTGCTCCTCTTCCAGGCAAGCGTGCCTGTCCTGGTGAGCAGCTGGCCAGGACTGAGCTCTTCATCTTCTTCACTTCCCTGCTGCAGAAATTCACCTTCCAGGCTCCGTCTGCCACTGTGCTGAGCTTTGCCTTCACAATCAGCCTCACGCGCTGCCCCAAGCCCTTCCAACTCTGCGCCCTGCCTCGCTGCTGAGGGCAAGATGGAAAGCATTCCCTTCTCAGCTGTCCCATTAGGTTGCAGGCTGCAGTGCTGGGACTCCTCACAGCTGGCAGCCCTGTGTGGTGTGTGGACAGTGGGGAGGGCAGGAGGGCTGCATTCTGCACGCCTCAGTGAGGACAAGCACTAGGACACACATATCCCCTTGTGCTCCTACTCCTTTCCCTGATCAGTTTGATAAAATACATGAATTCAAAAGCCTTATTGGTTCATTTTCTCCCTCAGCAACACCAAGGAAGTGGCTGTCAGTTGTAAGCCATGGGCACTTGTGCTTGCTGTGTCTCTTCTATAGTGGGCACGTTCATCACTCAGAGACCTTGCAATCACTAAAACTCAATGCTGCTGTACAGTGAATGGCCATGGGCTGTGTGTTTGGGGGCCTTCCTGCTCACTAGGGGTGGCTGTCTGCACATATGAGTCCTAGGCTCATGCCCATTGCTTTAATGGACAGCTAGCTGCCAGCGCAGATCCTGACCTCAGGGTTGGTGCAGCGTGTGTTCCCCACAAAGCACTGTTTCTGCTTTGCAATGGAAAGTCAACACCTAGATATAATACATTGCAGAGGAAGCATAAACATCGTTTCTTTTTTTTCCCCCTTCCATATGTATATAGGAATTTAAATAAGATGGTAGAAGCATCTTATGGGCTGGCCCATGGGTGTCCAAACTTTTGACTGGCCTGGGCTGCACTGAATAAAGAGGAATTCAGTGATACACCTTTGCTTTGTATGTGCTTTCATCTCAGATGCCACTTTGGCAGACTGCCCCTCTGCTGCCATCTGAATGAACCACTGCAATGAAAATAATAGGGTATTGGTGGGAAGCTCCAACCTCTACTGCCATACCACCAACAGCTGCCTCTGTTGTCAGGGGCTGACCTAAGGCAGGAGGCACTACTTTTGGAGCAACCCTTATATATTATACAGTTAACGTCTATAAGTAACAAAAGTTATTTTAGCTTTTAATATTGTTATTAAAACTTTAAAAAAAGGTGTGAGAGAGCAATAAAGCCTTAAAACCAGTGAGATGTGTGGCCTCGTTGTGCCACTAATGCATCACTGTGGTTCTGTGGCAGGAGCTGCAGCTCTCGAGGTGTTCACCACATATTTTGGATGAAATTTTATTCTTCTTGTGCTTCAACCTTGAAAACAGTTATTAAGGGAAGCTGCTTGGTGGGAAGTCCCAAGATCTGCCTCCAACGCAGGTCAGGGCCATTTCCACAGCACAGCGCTGGGCTGCGGTTGATGGACATTCTCTTCTGCCCATGTGAGGGTCTCTCTTGAAGATTATTCCAAGTCTGCAACTCAAATTTAATACTTCAAAAGCCCATGCCGCCTCCTATCTGCTCTTGTTTGCAATATATTTGCGAGAAATATATATATTTTTCTTTCTATTTCTCCCTCTGACCTTTCGTAAGTGACTTTTCTACACGCGCTCTTGTAGGATAGTGGATAGCTAACGGGAAAACAGGATTACATCAGGCTTCGTTTCCACTGGGCTTGGACGCCTTCCCAGGCAAGCGCTGTGCAGCCGCGCAGTTGCTGTGCAGTGACAGATCTGCGCCGCAGGGGAGAGTCCTCTGCACATCCCATGCCGGCATTCATGCACTCCAAACTCTCATCCTATTGCGTTTTCAATTAACTTTTCTCCGTTACAGGCACGTTTATTTTATTCCTGATACAGAAGACATATCTGTGGAATTTTGTTTTTTTCACGTATGGAATTTCTAAAGCCATTCTGGAGCGGACAGTGACTTCTCCATTTCTAGTCTGACCTCTGGAGCATGGGTACAGCTCTTTTATTTGCACTGCGTGAGCAAACACAAGCTGTTCTATTCCCTCCTATCGACTTTTCCTCTTACCTTAACGGAACCTTATATACTCACGCTTCCCTCTGAGAGGGAATAAATGGTTGCAATCTTCCTTTACCTACATCGAAAAGCTATAATTTAAAGATCTCTCCACAAAAAAAAAAAAAAAAAAAAAAAAAAAAAAAAAAAAAAAAAAAAAAAGCAGAAGGCATAATGGTGTTTAACTTAAGAGCGGAGCATCCCATGTGAGTGCAGGGGAACACTTCAGGTTTCAGGAAAAGCTTGAACTTATTAAAGTTGATCATAGGATCGCAGCAGCTTCGCTGCGCAACGGTACTCGGGAGCCTCCGAGCAGCGCCTTCATCCGGACAAATCCATTTTGCCACAGCTGCCGACCCCAAACAGAAGTAGCCCGCACCGCCCACCGCATCACGAGTGCGGGCTGCGGCTGCGCGGCGCGACGGGAACGCGGCAGTTCTCAGCCGGCAAAAGAATTCCTCGAAAGGGACGGGAGCGGGGCCGGTGTCACCGCCGGGCAGGACGCGCTCGTCCCTCCGCAGCGCTCAGCGCCGTCTGCGCCCTGCAAGCATCGCCCCGTGGCAGCGGAGCCTCGGGCCGTGAGTCAGAGGCGCTGTGGGAGCTCCGTGCAGCCTTATCTCGCGTCCGTCGTGGCCCGGCTCCGTGTGCGGCTGTGCGCGGCGGGGAGGCGGTGGCCGCGAGCGGGGACCGTGAGGGTGAGGGAGGGCCGTGCGGGAGCCGCCGGGCTGTGGGAAGGCGGCGGTGGGAGACGGGAGCGGAGCGGGGAGCTGCCGGTGCGCTGAGGGTGGGCTGTCGTCGGCGAGATGAGAGATGCGCGGGTCGCGTCGAGGAGGGCTTTGGCGAACGCGTGTGGCTGAGGCTGAGGAAGCGGCGGCCCGAAGGCAGCCCCGAGGCCGGGCCGGCCCGAGCCCCTCTGCGGTTGTGCCCACAGCTGCGGCCGCACCATGCTGCGCTTCCTGTGGGACAGCGTCTCCCTGCAGATGCTCTTCGTCTTCCTCTTGGTCTTCCTGCTGGTCGCTGACTACATGAAGAGGAGAAAGCCCAAGGGCTTCCCCCCCGGTCCTTTTTCCTTCCCTTTCCTGGGAAGTGTGGAATTTCTGATGGTTATCAATGACCCCATTGGCACAGTGCAAAAGGTAAGAGGATTCACAACATGTGGTACTGGCCAACACAATGCAGTCTAATTCCAGTCACTTCCATGGCCCACAGAGGGGCTCTTCATGAGTAGGGAGGACATTTAGCCCATGATCATCAAGGTGGATGATCTTTGCCCAGGACTACAGAGCCACATCATTGGGGCAAAGGGCATGGGACAGAACCGTGGGTTCCACTTCAGCTGTTAGTTGTTCTGAGGACGAGTGTGACTGGGAAAGGAGTTAAACACCAGGTGAAAATCCCTGCTCAGCTAAGTCTTGCAAAGTCTGGAAAATACAGCCTGGAGGGTTTTACCCCAACTTCAGAACACTGATAGGAGAAATGAGGAAAAAGTCTGCACGCAGTCAAGCCAACACTTGTGCAGCCATTCTGCTGCCTCTCCCAGGCTCAGTTTGCCCTATTTCCACTGAAGTCTGCCTGTCCTTCTCTGCGGGTGCAGGATGCCAAGGCTTTTCTTCTCCCAGCAGAAAATGTCATTGCAAATGTACCCTCATATACTTAATTACCTCATCCCCAGCTTACTGAAAAATATGGAGATGTCTTCAGCATGCAAATAGGCAGCCAGTCATTTGTGATTGTAAATGGGCTGCCACTGGTCAAGGAAACCCTTGTGAGCCAGGGAGAGAACTTCATGGATCGCCCAGAAATTCCTGTCAACACAGATGTCTTTGGCAATTTGGGTGAGTTATCAATAGAGTCTTATATCTAAAAAGCATTGATTTTATTTTTTTTTTAACCTGCCAGGAGGAAAGCTGGAGGAAATGCCCTGGCTTGACATTCATTCTGAGCAGTAGCACGAGCATGGTTGAGCCTCCTTTATAAAGGCAGATGTCCTCCATCATCTTTGCCTTGCTGAGGACATCTGTCTTTGCTCACTGTGGAATGCTTCTGCCAGGGCTGGTCTGCTCCAATGGGCACCTGTGGAAGCAGCAGAGAAGGTTCACCTTGACCACCCTCCGAAATTTTGGCCTGGGGAAGAGGAGCCTGGAGGAGCGGATCCAGGAGGAGTGCCGGTTCCTCACGGATGCGTTCAGGGATGAGCAGGGTGAGGACCACTTCCCTCAGCAGTTGTGCTGAAGGCAGAATCCATCTTGGACCATTTTAATTAAGCCTACACAAAAGCCTGCTAAAATGTACCTCATTTCACAGGGAATGCTAGCAACCTGCCAGCATCCCATTTTCTTTATACGGATGTTTTGCCCTCAGATTAACTGATAGATGCAGCTGTGTAACACTCAAAACAGTATTCTTACCCCACCTTTGTCAGATTGCTGAATTTCAAACCTCTAGAAAATTCCATGAGCCTGTTAGTACTAATGTTCACAATTAATTCCTGTGGTGTTTGCTCTTCTGCATCCATTTCAAGTCTTTCCTTCCAAAGTAAACAACCATCTCCAAGAAGGTGTTCCACTGGATACCATTCATTTCACTTATTGAACATTTTCCCTCTGATGCTGCCACTTTCTTCTCCTTTTCTGTGGAGAGAAGAAGAGAATTGATTGTTCCCTTTTCCATCTCCAGGAAATCCTTTCAACCCTCACCTTAAAATCAACAATGCTGTTTCAAACATCATCTGCTCCGTCACCTTTGGCAATCGGTTTGAATACCATGATGAGGACTTCCAAAACTTGCTGCAGCTGATGGATCAGACTGTTACCCTCCAAGGGAAGATAATGAGCCAGGTACAGCCCTCCTGCCCCCAGCACTGGTAGCATGCAGATTTGAAAGGCAGTGTTTCTTCTCTGGAGTCAACTACAAAAGCTTGAGCACTTTTTAGATTCTGTGAATGTCCTGAGTTGGAAGAGACCCATAAGGGTTATCAAGTCCAGTTCCTGGCTCCATATAAGAATACTTATGGTCCAAACCCTATTTTTGAAAGCACTGTCCAAACTCTCCCTGAGCTCACTTAGCTCAAGGCTTTGCCCACTGCCCTGAAGAGATGTCCCATGCTCCCCTCCCTATGGGGCAGGACCTTACTCTGTCCTGACACAGCTCCATGCCAGTCCCTTGGATCCTGCTGCCATAGAGCAGAGCTCAGCACAGCCCCTTCACCCTGTGAGGAGCTGCAGGCCACCATGATGAGCTGCAGGGCCGCCATGAGGCCTCTCCTCATTCTCCTCCACGGTGAAAAAATCAAGGGACTTCAACACGCCCCATACATTTGCCTTCTAGACCTTTCTCCATCTTCTTTGCACTCCTTTAATGGTCTCCAATAGTTTCATATCCTAATATATTGCAGCACTCAAAACAGCACACACTGCTGAAGGTGAGGCCATCACCAAGCACAGAGGTCAGGCCAAGTACAGGAGATGGTCTCTCCTCTGAGACCATGAAGACAGCCTTGAAGGGTTATGTGATCCTTCTCCACCTCTGGATGCATCCTGGTGAAGATGCAGTCTCCACTGATCACAAAGCTGAGCTACCTCAGCTGGTTTTCCTGTGCTTTGGGAAGGAGCTGAATACAGCAGAGGGTTTGGGCAGGGCCCTAGGGGAGGTCATGGGAAGAAGCAACGATAATGTTGCTAAGGACATTCATTGCCATTCATCATACCGTTGCACAGAGTGCTTCTTCATGTAATTTCATTCAGCCATATTTTCAAGCTGTGCAATGTTCACATTGCTCCATTTCACTCAGCATCACCACCTCCACTGAGTGCCAGGCTTCCTGCTGTAACTCTGAGGAATGCAGTAGTTCCTCGGACAGTGGAGACCACAATCCTTTGTCATGCTCTTCTGGAAATGAGTTAATTCCATCTACTCCAGCGCTGTAGGGTTGTGGCTTTGCGGGCTTTTCAAGTCTTGAAAACAGAAGGGGTTTCAGTCCTTACTCAGTTTTCCTCTTTTTTCTGTCCAAAGCTGTACAATGCTTTCCCCTCCATAATGAAGTACCTCCCTGGATCCCACCAAACTGTTTTTAAAAACTGGAAGTTGATGAAAAATTTTGTGTGCAATGTGATCAGCAAACATAAGGAAGACCTGAACCCCTCAGAGAGCCGAGACTTCATCAACAGCTACCTGCAGGAGATGGCCAAGGTCAGCAGTGTGGAGCAAGGCCTTCCTCAGTGGGGTCAGAAGATCAGGAGGGCTGAGAAACAAACCAGATCCTACCTGAGCTGCTGGTGTCTCCATATGTGAGCTCAGGATGGACATCAGGTTTGGGGCATCCATTGGAGGAATGAGGATGCAGCTTCTGCCAAAAGCCTTGAGGCAGAACTGAGTGGTGTGCTGAGGAAGTCCTCGCTGCTCATGTGACACTAACGCTTGGTTTTCTGAAGCCCAATGGCAGTGACTTCTGTGAGGATAACCTGGTGGCATGTACTCTTGACCTACTGTTTGCTGGGACTGAGACCACCTCCACAACCATCCGCTGGGCCCTGCTGTATATGGCCATGTATCCAGAAATTCAAGGTACAGGTAGCAGCAGGGCTGTGTGCTTCCTGGGTTTTGCCTGTGTGGTTTGGTAAGAGAGTCACTCTTTTGAAAGACCATCAGGAATCCTTCTATACTCAAGCAGGAGAGATGCAAAATATTGTTCTGTTTATTTGCTCATGTGTGTGCTTTTTCTGTTTTAACACTTGCTGTGGTAATTTTGTAATGCTTTACCTTGGAACCAAGAGACAGATGTGGCCACCAGTCATAGAAGCACTGGAGACCCCTGAGGGCTTTCCAGCAGAGGCGGCAGGAGCTTTACACAAGGCACAGGGCCCATTTAGTAGGTGGAGTGATGAACTAACAGAGCGGTGCCATGAGTCCCCTGGTGGCACATGGTTGACCTGGGATGGTCCTTGGGGGACCTGCACAGCAAACGTTATCTATTATCCCCAGGAGATCCATGGCTTTGCTGCACCATAGCTGATCCCTGCTCTTTCCAAACAGCCCGTGTGCAAGCCGAGATTGATGCTGTTATTGGGCAGTGCCGACAGCCAGCCCTCGAGGACAGGAACAACATGCCCTACACCAATGCTGTCATCCACGAAGTGCAGAGGAAAAGCAACATCATCCCTTTGAATGTCCCAAGACAGACAGTGAAGGACACAGTCCTGGCTGGCTTCCGGGTGCCCAAGGTAACCCCATCCTAAGCACTGAGGTCTGAGCAGGAGTCTCCCATTTCTCCATCTATGCAGGAATCAGTATAGTGACCAGGAGGTAGGGTAAAAATCCCCTTCTTGTTGGCAGTGGCAGAGAAAGTGCAAAGTGATTTTCTTTCTCTTGTCTCAGGGCACTGTTATGATTGCAAATATATCCTCTGTGATGTTTGACAAGAAGGAATGGGAAACCCCTCACAGTTTTAACCCTGGGCATTTCCTGAAGGACGGTCAGTTCTGGAAAAGGGAGGCTTTTGTGCCATTTTCTATAGGTAAGATCAGCTGCAGTTCGATGCTTCTGTGCTGAAGCACTGGGATGAGGCTTCCAGCTGTACACGGGAGACCCTGAGCAAATTTGTGATGGAAACAGCAGATGTTGGCTCCACCATGGGAGCTGCTGCTAGCCCCCTGCCTATATTGGTGAAAAGCAGCCCCTTCCTCACCAGTCACCATGCCTCCCCCCCCCCAAAGCACCAACAGCACCATCTCTTAGGCCTTTTAACAAGTGCACGAGACTACAGAAATTCCAGAGACCCCAGAAATGCATTCAGCAAGGTGAGAGCAGTGCTCTGTGCTCTCACTGAGAAGAGGGTTGGCCAGCAGGGACAGGAAGGGGATAGTCCCTCCCTGCTCTGCCCTCGTGAGGCCCCATCTGGAGTACTGCATCCACATCTGGAGACCCCAGCACAGCAAAAGTATGGAGCTGTTGGAGACAGCTAAAGGAGGGAAGGATTAGATTGGATGTCAGGGAGAAGTTCTTCACAGAGAGTAGTGAGGAGATGGAACAGGCTGCCCAGAGAGGTTGTGGATATTCCATCCCTGGAGGTGTTCAAGAACATGTTGTATACGGCCTTGAACAGCCTGGTCTAGTACCAGATCTGGAGATTGGTGGCCCTGCCTGTGGCAGGGGGGTTGCAACTTGCTGATCATTGGGGTCTCTTCCAACTCAAGCCATTCTGTGATCCTATGATGCATTCCTACACAGCTGAGATCAATGGGCTTTGCCACCACAGCATCTTGTCCTGGCCAGCATCTTCCTTGTGAAGAGTGATTTTAGCATCTCCAGTTTCCTGCCCTAGCATGGCACGCTTTCTCTGGTAATTTGGTTCCGTTCCTTGGAGTCCAGCCAGGCATACAGGGACTGCACGTGAAGCACTGCTCATCCCAGCAGGGTAGGACAAAATGTGTGTGTATACACTGACATGCACGTGCCCTCACTGCAGCACCCAGCTGAGGGCAGATCATGCTACAGCTCCATGAGGAGCTCAGCTGGGATGGCAGTCCTGGTGCTGGAAATGTAAGGTGGGCACGGGGATGCGGGCAGGGCGATGTTCCTGCAGGAGCTGTGTGCCGAGGCTTTTCCAGCAGAGAAAGCAGCTGGGCAGCCAGCAGGGCTGAATGGGCGCTGGGCGGCTGTCTCCGCAGGGAAGCACGCCTGCCTGGGTGAGCTGCTGGCCCGCGCCGAGCTCTTCCTCTTCTTCACGGCTCTGCTCCAGAAATTCACCTTCCAGGCTCCCCCGGACACCATCCTCGACCTCAAATTCATTCTGGGCATGACCTTGGCCCCGCGGCCCTACAAGATCTGTGCAGTGCCTCGATAGGAAGCACAGCCACTGCTCTTGGAGAAGGAACATCTCAGCTTTGGCACAGATGCACAGAGTGAGTGTTCATCAGCCACCATGTGCCATGGTAACAAGCTCCTCACGTGTTCTGTTTCTTTCTAAGCAATTGCAGAATAATTTCTTTTTACAAGCAGATCTTGCAGGCTGTGTCAGATAAGAAGGCCTATCAGCACTTGATGGGCTGGGGCACTTCTTGGCTTGCAGCCCAGCAATGCCGGTGAATGAGGAGCTCAGGACTTTTTTAATTCCATGCTGGATGGCCATGCATCACAGCTGTGGATCAGTACTGGTAGAGAGCAACACCTGAGCTCATCTCACTATACTGGTAAAAGCAGTAATAGCAAACAGTTCCTACTTTGAACTTAGGAAAGCAATTTGTCAATAGAAAAATGAAGTGACATGTCTCTTTCTTGAGCATTAATAAATCCCGACTGAAACATTTTTGATGTGAAGCGTTTTGCAAAGTGGTGACCAGCACTGCATGCAGTCTCCAGCCTTGCCAGCATTTGGGGCAGCAGGGGGTGGGGTGTAGAGCCATGCTGAGCTGCACAGCACCAGCTGTCCCTTAGCAGAAAGGAGGGCACAGGAACAGCACAGGCCATTTGTGCAGAGCTGATGAATATTCATGATCCAAGCTCTATGAGCAAACCAGCAGGAAAACCACCAAAGCTGGTGGCTGTGTTCTGCCACACCACTGCAATTAATGCAGTGACAGACACTCAGAGGATGACAAGTGCCACTTCTGACATCTGTTTCTAAAATAGCAGCACCTGGAGCCATAGCAAATACAGGTCCTGTCTCCTAGTGTTACCTCAGTAGTCTTCTTTTCCCTCCCCCAATCCTGAGCGCTCTCCTCAACATTGGACAGGCAGCAGTGAGGAAGGCTGAGCTGGCACTGCAGTGCTGCCCAGGATGAAATGCAGGGGCCATGACCAGGTTCAAAACCTGATGGAGATTACACACTGCCTTCTCAGCATTTCTGCTCACTTCGTGCACTTCTGACCTCTGGTCTACCTGAAAGTCCCTGCAACTTTACTGCCTTCTTATCTACACAACTGCCTCATGGGAGACAATAAATGGCTGCAATCTTACTTTTCTTCCCTTCCTGATGTTTTAAATGGGAAGAAGACACAAAAACATTCACTTGAGGAGCGCAGCATCTCATGTGAGCGCAAGGGAATTTTTGTGAGTGCTTTAGAGTTCATGTAAAAGCACGGATTGAACTTTCTCAGGAGAACGCAGCAACTCCTTTCACGCACTTCCTCATCTCCGCAGGCACAGCTGCCGCCCCCTAAACAGAAGCAGTCCGTACCGCCCACTGCATCACGACAACGGCAGTTCTCAGCCGGCAGCAAAACAGCGCGGCCGGCAAAAGAATTCCTCGAAAGGGACGGGACGGGAGGAGGGCCTGGAGCGGGGCCGGTGTCACCGCCGGGCAGGACGCGCTCGTCCCTCCGCAGCGCTCAGCGCCGTCTGCGCCCTGCCGGCACCGCCCCGTGGCAGTGGACCCTCGTCCCGTGAGTCGGAGGCGCTGTGGGAGCTCCGTGCAGCCTTATCTCGCGTCCGTCGTGGCCCGGCTCCGTGTGCGGCTCTGCGCGGCGGGGAGGCGGTGGCCGCGAGCGGGGACCGTGAGGGTGAGGGAGCCGCCGGGCTGTGGGAAGGCGGCGGTGGGAGACGGGAGCGGAGCGGGGAGCTGCCGGTGCGCTGAGGGTGGGCTGTCGTCGGCGAGATGAGAGATGCGCGGGTCGCGTCGAGGAGGGCTTTGGCGAACGCGTGTGGCTGAGGCTGAGGAAGCGGCGGCCCAAAGGCAGCCCCGAGGCCGGGCCGGCCCGAGCCCCTCTGCGGTTGTGCCCACAGCTGCGGCCGCACCATGCTGTGCTTCCTGTGGGACAGCGTCTCCCTGCAGATGCTCTTCGTCTTCCTCTTGGTCTTCCTGCTGGTCGCTGACTACATGAAGAGGAGAAAGCCCAAGGACTTCCCCCCCAGTCCTTTTGCCCTGCCATTCCTGGGAAACATGCAGTTTATGATTGCCGAAGACCCCATGGCTGTGACACAGAAGGTAAGGGGCTTTTTTACATACAAAGGTCTTACCCAAGCAATGCAAACTCAACAGTGCTCAAACTCGGCAGTCTACAGAGGGCTCTCTGGGGGTGGGTTGTAGTGCAGCCTGGAATCAGAAGGCACGGTGGACGATGTTTTCCTTGGAACACAGAGCCACATCCTTTGGGCAAAGGACACGGCACAATGCCACAGTTTTGATTGTAGCTGTAGGTGCCTCGGATGGGAAGGGTTTCTAAGAAAGGAGTTAAACAGCATCAGGAAAAGTTTTGCTCAATTGAGTCTTGCAAAGCCTGGAAAATGCGGTCTGAACGGTTTTACCCCAACTTCAGAACGGTGAGAGAAGAAATCAGGGAAACGACTGCACACAGTCAGGCCAAAACTTATGAAATTACACTACTCCCAGTTTTTCTTCCTGTTCCTGTGCAAGTGAAACTGTTCCTCATTGTGAGTGCAGGATACAGGGCTTTCTCTCTGCCAGCAGAAAATTCATTGCATATCAATCCTTCTTTATTTCTTTACCTCATCCCCAGTTTATTGAAAAACACGGAGACATCTTCAGCATGCAAGTGGGCAGCATGTCGTTTGTGGTGGTAAACGGGCTGCAAATGATCAAGGAAGCCCTTGTGACCCAGGGAGAGAATTTCATAGATCGCCCGGAATATCCTGTGAAAACAGAACTCTTCAGCAAGTTGGGTGAGTTATCAATGGAGACAGGGATCTGAAACACACGGTCAAAGTGTGTTTGAAGAAGACAATGCTGTGGCTTTGCATTCTCACCGAGCAGCGTCACCAGCGTGGCTGAGCCTCCTTTATAAAGGCAGATGTCCTCCATCATCTTCGCCTTGCTGAGGACATCTTCCTTTGCTCACTGTGGAATGCTTCTGCCAGGGCTGATCTTCTCCAATGGGCACCTGTGGAAGCAGCAGAGAAGGTTCACCTTGACCACCCTCCGAAATTTTGGCCTGGGGAAGAGGAGCCTGGAGGAGCGGATCCAGGAGGAGTGCCGGTTCCTCACGGATGCGTTCAGGGATGAGCAGGGTGAGGACCACTTCCCTCAGCAGTTGTGCTGAAGGCAGAATCCATCTTGGACCATTTTAATTTCCCCTATGCTAATGCCTAGTGAAAAATCACAGAGTCAAAGAATCATTTCAGTTGGAAAATCCTTCTAAGATCACCAACTCCAATTCCAGCCCATTCCCAGCATGCCCACTAGCCACGTCCCTCAGTGCCACATCAACGCATTTTCTAATGCCTCCATAGATGGTGACTCTGCCACCTCTGTGGGCATCCTGTTCCAATGTCTGACCACTTCTCCTAGAAATTCTTCCTAATACCTAACCTCAACCTCCTGTGAGGTAATTTAATGTCAGTAGTTCTCATCCTGTAACTGCTAGCTGGGAGGAGAGATCGACACGCATCCTGCTGCAATCTCTTTGAAGGGAGTGGCGAAGGGCAGTGATTTCTCCATTGAAACTCCTACAAGCTGAGCAATCTCAGTTCTCACAGCTGGCCATCAGAGTTGTGTTCCAGACCCTTTACAGCTTTGTTGTCATTCTCTGGACACACTCCAGGGCCTCAATGTCTTTCTTGAAGAGAGGGGCACAAAACTCAACCCAGCACTCAAGGGGGAGCCTCACCAGTGCCAAGAACAGTGGCATGATCACCACCCATTCCTGCTGACTACACTACAGCTGACACGAGCTAGGATGCCCTTTGCCTTCTTGGCTACATAGGCACACTACTGGCTCAGCTTCAGTCAGCTGCCAACAATTTTCTTCATCTCACAAGCAATGCTGGTAATGTGCCAGCATCCCAGACTCCCTCTACAGGTGTTTTGCCTTCAGATTAACTGATAGATACAGCTATGTAACAGTACTCTTACCCCACCTTTGTCCTCTTGCTGAATTGGAGACCTCTAGGAAATACCATGGACCTGTCAGCACCAATGTTCACAATTAATTCCTATGGTGTTTCCTCTTCTGAGTCATTTCAGATCTTTTTTTCCCAAGCAAACAACCTTTTCCAAGAAGGTGCCCACTGAAAACCACTCATTTCATGTTGACTATTTTCCCTCTGATGATGGTGCTTTCTTCCCTTTTTTTCTGTGGAGTCAAGAAGAGAATTGATTGTTCCCTTTTCCATCTCCAGGAAATCCTTTCAACCCTCACCTTAAAATCAACAATGCTGTTTCAAACATCATCTGCTGCATCACCTTTGGCAATCGGTTTGAATACCATGATGAGGACTTCCAAAACTTGCTGTGGATGATGGATCAGATTGTTACCCTCCAAGGGAAGATAATGAGCCAGGTACAATCCCCCATGCCCACTTTTTTCTTCCACTCAGACTGACCTCCCCTGACACAGATTGATCCCTTGGATTCTGTTGCTGTCACCAGAGAACAGATTTCTGCACTGCGCCTCCGCTCCCTGTGACAAGGTGCAGGCTGCCATGAGGCCTCCCCTTCATCTTCCCCACGTTGAACAATCCATGGGACCTCAGCACTCCTCATGTATTTGCCCTGCAAAAGCATTTTCATAGCACTCCTTTGCATGCTCTCTGATCATTTTAAATGCCTATATATTGCAGCAAACAAAACTGCACACATTACTCAAAGGGAGGCCATCACCAACCGCAGGGGATGGCCAAGCCCAGAAGTTTCCCCCTGCTCTGGGACCGTGAGATTTTCCTTGGTGCTTCCCACAGCTGTCTGTCCGTTCTCCATCCCTGCATGCATCTTAGTGACGATGCAGTCCATCGTCAGTACCTTGATTACAAAGCCAGACTGTCCCCTGCTGGTTTACCAGTGCCTTTGGAAGAAACTGAATACAGCAGAGGGTTTGGTCAGATCCCTAGGAGAGGTTATGGGAAGGGCAAATGCTCGGGTAACTTCTTTCAGCCATATTTTCAGGCTTTGCGACATTGCTGTTCCTCTCTTTCCCACCTCATCTCCCCTCCTGATCTCTGAGTGCCAAGCTCCCTACCGTGACTCAGGAACGCCTTAGGCTATCTCCCATGGAGATACCAATCCTTTCTCATGCTCTTCTGGAGATAAGTTAATTCCATCTACTCCAGCAATGAAAGGTTGTGGCTTTGCAGGCTTTTCAAGTCTTGAAAACAGAAGTGATTTTTCAGCATGTTCTTGAATTTGCTCATCTGTCTTTCTTTCCAAAGCTGTATACAATTTATCCATCCATAATAAAATACTTCCCTGGATCCCACCAAACCATTTTGAAAAATGGGAGGCTCATGAAAAGGTTTGTGTGTGAGAAGATCAACAAACATAAGGAAGACCTGAACCCCTCAGAGAGCCGAGACTTCATTGACAGCTACCTGCAGGAGATGGCCAAGGTCAGCAGTGTGGAGCAAGCCACAGTGGGGTCAGAAGATCAGGAGGGCTGAGAAACAAACCAGATCCTACCTGAGCTGCTGGTGTCTCCATTTGTGAGCTCAGGATGGACATCAGGTTTGGGGCATTCATTGGAGGGTTGAGAATGCAGCTTCTGCCAAAAGCCTTGGGGCAGAACTGAGTGGTGTGTTGAGGAAGTCCTCGCTGCACATATTGCACTGACACTTGATTTTCTGAAGCCCAATGGCAGGGAATTCCATGAGGAAAACCTGGTAGAATGCACTCTCGACCTGTTTTTTGCTGGGACTGAGACCACCTCCACAACCATCCGCTGGGCCCTGCTGTTTATGGCCGTATACCCAGAGATTCAAGGTACAGGTAGCAGCACTGCTATCCGTTTCCTATTTTTAGCCCTTGTAGCTTGGTGAGAGTTTATCCTTGTTGAAAGAAAAAGTGGAAATACTGTGTTCTCCAACAGATTTAGTGCAAGTATTGGTTTTGTTTTCAACTGTTTACCTTCAATGTTTTAAAGCTTTTCCTAGTGATTTTGTTGTTCTTTCTCATGGGACAAACAGGCAAATGTGCCCATATGCCCCACAAGCACTGGAGACCACTGTGGGCTGTCCAGCAAAGGCAAAAAGGGGCTCTGCCAAGGGCCCATTTAGTGTATGTAGTGAGAGATGAACATGCAGAGAGGTGCCACAAGTCCCCTGGTGGCACAGGATTGACCTGGGATGGTCCTTGGGGGACCTGCACAGCAAAAATATTGTGGTGTCCCCAGCGTTTCTATGGTTTTGCTGCACCATAGCTGATCCCTGCTCTTTCCAAACAGCCCGTGTGCAAGCAGAGATCGATGCTGTTATTGGGCAATGCCGACAGCCAGCCCTGGAGGACAGGAACAACATGCCCTACACCAATGCTGTCGTCCATGAAGTGCAGAGGAAAGGCAACATCGTCCCTTTCAACGTGCCTAGAGAGGCGGTGAAGGACACAGTCTTGGCTGGTTTCCGGGTGCCCAAGGTAAACCCAGTTTGGATCAGTGAGGTCTGGGCAGGAGACTTCCATCTCCCCTTTGCTGCAGGGACAGAGCTGCAGCATTGCTGCCTGTCCCAGAGGTCACTGCTGTGGATCGTGTTGTTTTGCTCACCCAACACTGTTGTCCAGCACACTGCATTCTCAGTGCCCAGGATGAATGCCATGAGGTGCGGCATCCGTGTCTATCAGGGAGGGACAGAGCCCTGAGCATGCAGCTTTTTCTTAGATGAATTTTTAGGAATAGTTATGTTCATGAGAGAAAAGGGTGTGTCTAAACAATCAAAAAATAGGAAATCATGGCCAGGCAAAATGAGTGCAAGACGTGGATTGCAGATTTGTCTATCAATGATCTTGTGAACAACACAGGAGGGTAAAAATCCCCCTCCTGTTGGCAGAGGCAGAGAGAGTGCAAAGTGATTTTCTTTCTCTTGTCTCAGGGCACTATTTTGATCCCAAATCTGTCTTCTGTGATGTTTGACAAGAAGGAATGGGAAACTCCTCACAGTTTTAACCCCGGGCATTTCCTGAAGGATGGTCAGTTCTGGAAGAGGGAGGCATTTCTGCCATTTTCTATAGGTAAGATTAGATCAGTTTACTGCAGTTTGATGCTTCTGTGCTGAAGCAGTGGGATGGGGCTTTCAGCTGCACAATGGAGAACCTGAGCTAAGCACTGATGGAAACAGGAGTTGCTGGTTCCACCATAGGAGGGCTGCTTGCCCACTGCCTGTAGCAGTCAACACTAGACACTTCCTTAGCAGTAGCCATGCAGGCTCCTCAAAGAACCACCTCCTCCGCCTCTTAGGCCTTCTTCACAAACACGAGAGAATACAAAAGTGTCCCAGAAATGCATTCAGCAATGCAAGAGCAGTGCTCTGTGCTCCCAGTCCCACACAGCTGAGGTCAATGGGCTCTGCCACCACAACCACAGAGTGCCAGCATCTTCCTTGTGGAGAGTGATTTTAGCATCTCCAATTTCCTGCCCTAGCATGGCACACTTTCTCTGGTGATTTGGTTCCATTCCTTGGAGTCCAGCCAGGCACATAGGGATTACATGTGAAGCACTGCTCATCCCAGCAGGGTAGGACAAAATGTGTGTGTATACACTGACATGCACGTGCCCTCACTGCAGCACCCAGCTGGGGGCAGATGGTGCTACAGCTCCATGAGGAGCTCAGCTGGGATGGCAGTCCTGGTGCTGGAAATGTAAGGTGGGCACGGGGATGCGGGCAGGGCGATGTTCCTGCAGGAGCTGTGTGCCGGGGCTTTTCCAGCAGAGAAAGCAGCTGGGCAGCCAGCAGGGCTGAATGGGCGCTGGGCGGCTGTCTCCGCAGGGAAGCGCGCCTGCCTGGGTGAGCTGCTGGCCCGCGCCGAGCTCTTCCTCTTCTTCACGGCTCTGCTCCAGAAATTCACCTTCCAGGCTCCCCCGGACACCATCCTCGACCTCAAATTCATTCTGGGCATGACCTTGGCCCCGCGGCCCTACAAGATCTGTGCAGTGCCTCGATAGGAAGCACAGCCACTGCTCTTGGAGAAGGAACATCTCAGCTTTGGCACAGATGCACAGAGTGAGTGTTCATCAGCCACCATGTGCCATGGTAACAACCTCCTCACGTGTTCTGTTTCTTTCTAAGCAATTGCAGAATAATTTCTTTTTACAAGCAGATCTTGCAGGCTGTGTCAGATAAGAAGGCCTATCAGCACTTGATGGGCTGGGGCACTTCTTGGCTTGCAGCCCAGCAATGCCAGTGAATGAGGAGCTCAGGACTTTTTTAATTCCATGCTGGATGGCCATGCATCATAGCTGTGGATCAGTACTGGTAGAGAGCAACACCTGAGCTCATCTCACTATACTGGTAAAAGCAGTAATTGCAAACAGTTCCTACTTTGAACTTAGGAAAGCAATTTGTCAATAGAAAAATGAAGTGACATGTCTCTTTCTTGAGCATTAATAAATCCCGACTGAAACATTTTTGATGTGAAGCGTTTTGCAAAGTGGTGACCAGCACTGCCTGCAGTCTCCAGCCTTGCCAGCATTTGGGGCAGTAGGGGGTGGGGTGTAGAGCCATGCTGAGCTGCACAGCACCAGCTGTCCCTTAGCAGAAAGGAGGGCACAGGAACAGCACAGGCCATTTGTGCAGAGCTGATGAATATTCATGATCCAAGCTCTATGAGCAAACCAGCAGGAAAACCACCAAAGCTGGTGGCTGTGTTCTGCCACACCACTGCAATTAATGCAGTGACAGACACTCAGAGGATGACAAGTGCCACTTCTGACATCTGTTTCTAAAATAGCAGCACCTGGAGCCATAGCAAATACAGGTCCTGTCTCCTAGTGTTACCTCAGTAGTCTTCTTTTCCCTCCCCCAATCCTGTGCACTCTCCTCAACACTGGACAGGCAGCAGTGAGGAAGGCTGAGCTGGCACTGCAGTGCTGCCCAGGATGAAATGCAGGGGCCATGACCAGGTTCAAAACCTGATGGAGATTACACACTGCCTTCTCAGCATTTCTGCTCACTTCGTGCACTTCTGACCTCTGGTCTACCTGAAAGTCCCTGCAACTTTACTGCCTTCTTATCTACACAACTGCCTCATGGGAGACAATAAATGGCTGCAATCTTACTTTTCTTCCCTTCCTGATGTTTTAAATGGGAAGAAGACACAAAAACATTCACTTGAGGAGCGCAGCATCTCATGTGAGCGCAAGGGAATTTTTGTGAGTGCTTTAGAGTTCATGTAAAAGCACGGATTGAACTTTCTCAGGAGAACGCAGCAACTCCTTTCACGCACTTCCGCATCTCCGCAGGCACAGCTGCCGCCCCCTAAACAGAAGCAGTCCGTACCGCCCACTGCATCACGACAACGGCAGTTCTCAGCCGGCAGCAAAACAGCGCGGCCGGCAAAAGAATTCCTCGAAAGGGACGGGACGGGAGGAGGGCCTGGAGCGGGGCCGGTGTCACCGCCGGGCAGGACGCGCTCGTCCCTCCGCAGCGCTCAGCGCCGTCTGCGCCCTGCCGGCACCGCCCCGTGGCAGTGGACCCTCGTCCCGTGAGTCGGAGGCGCTGTGGGAGCTCCGTGCAGCCTTATCTCGGGTCCGTCGTGGCCCGGCTCCGTGTGCGGCTCTGCGCGGCGGGGAGGCGGTGGCCGCGAGCGGGGACCGTGAGGGTGAGGGAGCCGCCGGGCTGTGGGAAGGCGGCGGTGGGAGACGGGAGCGGAGCGGGGAGCTGCCGGTGCGCTGAGGGTGGGCTGTCGTCGGCGAGATGAGAGATGCGCGGGTCGCGTCGAGGAGGGCTTTGGCGAACGCGTGTGGCTGAGGCTGAGGAAGCGGCGGCCCAAAGGCAGCCCCGAGGCCGGGCCGGCCCGAGCCCCTCTGCGGTTGTGCCCACAGCTGCGGCCGCACCATGCTGCGCTTCCTGTGGGACAGCGTCTCCCTGCAGATGCTCTTCGTCTTCCTCTTGGTCTTCCTGCTGGTCGCTGACTACATGAAGAGGAGAAAGCCCAAGGACTTCCCCCCCAGTCCTTTTGCCCTGCCATTCCTGGGAAACATGCAGTTTATGATTGCCAAAGACCCCATGGCTGTGACACAGAAGGTAAGGGGCTTTTTTACATACAAAGGTCTTACCCAAGCAATGCAAACTCAACAGTGCTCAAACTCGGCAGTCTACAGAGGGCTCTCTGGGGGTGGGTTGTAGTGCAGCCTGGAATCAGAAGGCACGGTGGACGATGTTTTCCTTGGAACACGGAGCCACATCCTTTGGGCAAAGCACACGGCACAATGCCACAGTTTTGATTGTAGCTGTAGGTGCCTCGGATGGGAAGGGTTTCTAAGAAAGGAGTTAAACAGCATCAGGAAAAGTTTTGCTCAATTGAGTCTTGCAAAGCCTGGAAAATGCGGTCTGAACGGTTTTACCCCAACTTCAGAACGGTGAGAGAAGAAATCAGGGAAACGACTGCACACAGTCAGGCCAAAACTTATGAAATTACACTACTCCCAGTTTTTCTTCCTGTTCCTGTGCAAGTGAAACTGTTCCTCATTGTGAGTGCTGGATACAGGGCTTTCTCTCTGCCAGCAGAAAATTCATTGCATATCAATCCTTCTTTATTTCTTTACCTCATCCCCAGTTTATTGAAAAACACGGAGACATCTTCAGCACGCAAGTGGGCAGCATGTCGTTTGTGGTGGTAAACGGGCTGCAAATGATCAAGGAAGCCCTTGTGACCCAGGGAGAGAATTTCATAGATCGCCCGGAATATCCTGTGAAAACAGAACTCTTCAGCAAGTTGGGTGAGTTATCAATGGAGACAGGGATCTGAAACACACGGTCAAAGTGTGTTTGAAGAAGACAATGCTGTGGCTTTGCATTCTCACCGAGCAGCATCACCAGCATGACAGAGCCTCCTTTATAAAGGCAGATGTCCTCCATCATCTTCGCCTTGCTGAGGACATCTGTCTTTGCTCACTGTGCAATGCTTCTGCCAGGGCTGGTCTTCTCCAATGGGCACCTGTGGAAGCAGCAGAGAAGGTTCACCTTGACCACCCTCCGAAATTTTGGCCTGGGGAAGAGGAGCCTGGAGGAGCGGATCCAGGAGGAGTGCCGGTTCCTCACGGATGCGTTCAGGGATGAGCAGGGTGAGGACCACTTCCCTCAGCAGTTGTGCTGAAGGCAGAATCCATCTTGGACCATTTTAATTTCCCCTATGCTAATGCCTAGTGAAAAATCACAGAGTCAAAGAATCATTTCAGTTGGAAAATCCTTCTAAGATCACCAACTCCAATTCCAGCCCATTCCCAGCGTGCCCACTAGCCACGTCCCTCAGTGCCACATCAATGCATTTTCTAATGCTTCCATAGATGGTGACTCTGCCACCTCTGTGGGCATCCTGTTCCAATGTCTGACCACTTCTCCTGGAAATTCTACTTAATACCTCACCTACATGTACAGCAATTCAAGGCCCTTTTGTCTCATCCTATCATGGTTACCTAGGAGAAGAGATCAACACCAAATTCACTGCAACCTTCCTTCTGGGAGTGGCGAAGGGCAATGATTTCTCCACTGAAACTCCTACAAGCTGAGCAATCTCAGTTCTCACAGCTGGCCATCGCAGTTGTGTTCCAGACCCTTTACAGCTTTGTTGTCATTCTCTGGACACACTCCAGGGCCTCAATGTCTTTCTTGAAGAGAGGGGCACAAAACTCAACCCAGCACTCAAGGGGGAGCCTCACCAGTGCCAAGAACAGTGGCATGATCACCACCCATTCCTGCTGACTACACTACAGCTGACACGAGCTAGGATGCCCTTTGCCTTCTTGGCTACGTAGGCACACTACTGGCTCACCTTCAGTCAGCTGCCAACAATTTTCTTCATCCCACAAGCAATGCTGGTAATGTGCCAGCATCCCAGTCTCCCTCTACAGGTGTTTTGCCTTCAGATTAACTGATAGATACAGCTATGTAACAGTATTCTTACCCCACCTTTGTCCTCTTGCTGAATTGGAGACCTCTAGGAAATACCATGGACCTGTCAGCACCAATGTTCACAATTAATTCCTATGGTGTTTCCTCTTCTGAGTCATTTCAGATCTTTTTTTCCCAAGCAAACAACCATTTCCAAGAAGGTGCCCACTGAAAACCACTCATTTCATGTTGACTATTTTCCCTCTGATGATGGTGCTTTCTTCCCTTTTTTTCTGTGGAGTTAAGAAGAGAATTGATTGTTCCCTTTTCCATCTCCAGGAAATCCTTTCAACCCTCACCTTAAAATCAACAATGCTGTTTCAAACATCATCTGCTCCGTCACCTTTGGCAATCGGTTTGAATACCATGATGAGGACTTCCAAAACTTGCTGCGGATGATGGATCAGAGTGTTACCCTCCAAGGGAAGATAATGAGCCAGGTACAATCCCCCATGCCCACTTTTTTCTTCCACTCAGACTGACCTCCCCTGACACAGATTGATCCCTTGGATTCTGTTGCTGTCACCAGAGAACAGATTTCTGCACTGCGCCTCCGCTCCCTGTGACAAGGTGCAGGCTGCCATGAGGCCTCCCTTCATCTTCCCCACGTTGAACAATCCATGGGACCTCAGCACTCCTCATGTATTTGCCCTGCAAAAGCATTTTCATAGCACTCCTTTGCATGCTCTCTGATCATTTTAAATGCCTATATATTGCAGCAAACAAAACTGCACACATTACTCAAAGGGAGGCCATCACCAACCGCAGGGGATGGCCAAGCCCAGAAGTTTCCCCCTGCTCTGGGACCGTGAGATTTTCCTTGGTGCTTCCCACAGCTGTGTGTCCGTTCTCCTCCGTGCATGCATCTTAGTGACGATGCAGTCCATCGTCAATACCTTGATTACAAAGCCAGACTGTCCCCTGCTGGTTTACCAGTGCCTTTGGAAGAAACTGAATACAGCAGAGGGTTTGGTCAGGTCCCTAGGAGAGGTTATGGGAAGGGCAAATGCTCGGGTAACTTCTTTCAGCCATATTTTCAGGCTTTGCGACATTGCTGTTCCTCTCTTTCCCACCTCATCTCCCCTCCTGATCTCTGAGTGCCAAGCTCCCTACCGTGACTCAGGAACGCATTAGGCTATCTCCCATGGAGATACCAATCCTTTCTCATGCTCTTCTGGAGATAAGTTAATTCCATCTACTCCAGCAATGAAAGGTTGTGGCTTTGCAGGCTTTTCAAGTCTTGAAAACAGAAGTGATTTTTCAGCATGTTCTTGAATTTGCTCATCTGTCTTTCTTTCCAAAGCTGTATACAATTTATCCATCCATAATAAAATACTTCCCTGGATCCCACCAAACCATTTTGAAAAATGGGAGGCTCATGAAAAGGTTTGTGTGTGAGAAGATCAACAAACATAAGGAAGACCTGAACCCCTCAGAGAGCCGAGACTTCATTGACAGCTACCTACAGGAGATGGCCAAGGTCAGCAGTGTGGAGCAAGCCACAGTGGGGTCAGAAGATCAGGAGGGCTGAGAAACAAACCAGATCCTACCTGAGCTGCTGGTGTCTCCATTTGTGAGCTCAGGATGGACATCAGGTTTGGGGCATCCATTGGAGGGTTGAGAATGGAGCTTCTGCCAAAAGCCTTGGGGCAGAACTGAGTGGTGTGCTGAGGAAGTCCTCGCTGCACATATTGCACTGACACTTGATTTTCTGAAGCCCAATGGCAGGGAATTCCATGAGGAAAACCTGGTAGAATGCACTCTCGACCTGTTTTTTGCTGGGACTGAGACCACCTCCACAACCATCCGCTGGGCCCTGCTGTTTATGGCCGTATACCCAGAGATTCAAGGTACAGGTAGCAGCACTGCTATCCGTTTCCTATTTTTAGCCCTTGTAGCTTGGTGAGAGTTTATCCTTGTTGAAAGAAGTGGAAATACTGTGTTCTCCAACAGATTTAGTGCAAGTATTGGTTTTGTTTTCAACTGTTTACCTTCAATGTTTTAAAGCTTTTCCTAGTGATTTTGTTGTTCTTTCTCATGGGACAAACAGGCAAATGTGCCCATATGCCCCACAAGCACTGGAGATCACTGTGGGCTGTCCAGCAAAGGCAAAAAGGGGCTCTGCCAAGGGCCCATTTAGTGTATGTAGTGAGAGATGAACATGCAGAGAGGTGCCACAAGTCCCCTGGTGGCACAGGATTGACCTGGGATGGTCCTTGGGGGACCTGCACAGCAAAAATATTGTGGTGTCCCCAGGGTTTCTATGGTTTTGCTGCACCATAGCTGATCCCTGCTCTTTCCAAACAGCCCGTGTGCAAGCAGAGATCGATGCTGTTATTGGGCAGTGCCGACAGCCAGCCCTGGAGGACAGGAACAACATGCCCTACACCAATGCTGTCATCCATGAAGTGCAGAGGAAAAGCAACATCCTCCCTTTCAACGTGCCTAGAGAGGCGGTGAAGGACACAGTCTTGGCTGGCTTCCGGGTGCCCAAGGTAAACCCAGTTTGGATCAGTGAGGTCTGAGCAGGAGACTTCCATCTCCCCTTTGCTGCAGGGACAGAGCTGCAGCATTGCTGCCTGTCCCAGAGGTCACTGCTGTGGATCGTGTTGTTTTGCTCACCCAACACTGTTGTCCAGCACACTGCATTCTCAGTGCCCAGGATGAATGCCATGAGGTGCGGCATCCGTGTGTATCAGGGAGGGACAGAGCCCTGAGCATGCAGCTTTTTCTTAGATGAATTTTTAGGAATAGTTATGTTCATGAGAGAAAAGGGTGTGTCTAAACAATCAAAAAATAGGAAATCATGGCCAGGCAAAATGAGTGCAAGACGTGGATTGCAGATTTGTCTATCAATGATCTTGTGAACAACACAGGAGGGTAAAAATCCCCCTCCTGTTGGCAGAGGCAGAGAGAGTGCAAAGTGATTTTCTTTCTCTTGTCTCAGGGCACTATTTTGATCCCAAATCTGTCTTCTGTGATGTTTGACAAGAAGGAATGGGAAACTCCTCACAGTTTTAACCCCGGGCATTTCCTGAAGGATGGTCAGTTCTGGAAGAGGGAGGCATTTCTGCCATTTTCTATAGGTAAGATTAGATCAGTTTACTGCAGTTTGATGCTTCTGTGCTGAAGCAGTGGGATGGGGCTTTCAGCTGCACAATGGAGAACCTGAGCTAAGCACTGATGGAAACAGGAGTTGCTGGTTCCACCATAGGAGGGCTGCTTGCCCACTGCCTGTAGCAGTCAACACTAGACACTTCCTTAGCAGTAGCCATGCAGGCTCCTCAAAGAACCACCTCCTCCGCCTCTTAGACCTTCTTCACAAACACGAGAGAATACAAAAGTGTCCCAGAAATGCATTCAGCAATGCAAGAGCAGTGCTCTGTGCTCCCAGTCCCACACAGCTGAGGTCAATGGGCTCTGCCACCACAACCACAGAGTGCCAGCATCTTCCTTGTGGAGAGTGATTTTAGCATCTCCAGTTTCCTGCCCTAGCATGGCACGCTTTCTCTGGTGATTTGGTTCCGTTCCTTGGAGTCCAGCCAGGCACACAGGGATTACATGTGAAGCACTGCTCGTCCCAGCAGGGTAGGACAAAATGTGTGTGTATACACTGACATGCACGTGCCCTCACTGCGGCACCCAGCTGGGGGCAGATGGTGCTACAGCTCCATGAGGAGCTCAGCTGGGATGGCAGTCCTGGTGCTGGAAATGTAAGGTGGGCACGGGGATGCGGGCAGGGCGATGTTCCTGCAGGAGCTGTGTGCCGAGGCTTTTCCAGCAGAGAAAGCAGCTGGGCAGCCAGCAGGGCTGAATGGGCGCTGGGCGGCTGTCTCCGCAGGGAAGCGCGCCTGCCTGGGTGAGCTGCTGGCCCGCGCCGAGCTCTTCCTCTTCTTCACGGCTCTGCTCCAGAAATTCACCTTCCAGGCTCCCCCGGACACCATCCTCGACCTCAAATTCATTCTGGGCATCACCTTGGCCCCGCGGCCCTACAAGATCTGTGCAGTGCCTCGATAGGAAGCACAGCCGCTGCTCTTGGAGAAGGAACATCTCAGCTTGCACACTCAGATGCACAGACTGAGTGTTCATCAGCCACCATGTGCCATGGTAACAACCTCCTCACATGTTCTGTTTCTTTCTAAGCAATTGCAGAATAATTTCTTTTTACAAGCAGATCTTGCAGGCAGGATGAGAAGGTCTATCAGCACTTGATGGGCTGGGACACTTCTGGGCATTGAAGCATTTTTGATGTGAAGCATTTTGCAAAGTGATGACCAGGGCAGCCTTTTCAGCACTGCATGCAATCTCCAGCCTTGCCAGCATTTGGGGCAGCACGGGGTGGGGTGTAGAGCCATGCTGAGCTGCACAGCACCACCTGTCCCTTAGCAGAAAGGAGGGCACAGGAACAGTACAGGCCATTTGTGCAGAGCTGATGAATATTCATGATCCAAGCTCTATGAGCAAACCAGCAGGAAAACCACCAAAGCTGGTGGCTGTGTTCTGCCACACCACTGCAATTAATGCAGTGACAGACACTCAGAGGATGACAAGTGCCACTTCTGACATCTGTTTCTAAAATAGCAGCACCTGGAGCCATAGCAAATACAGGTCCTGTCTCCTAGTGTTACCTCAGTAGTCTTCTTTTCCCTCCCCCAATCCTGAGCGCTCTCCTCAACATTGGACAGGCAGCAGTGAGGAAGGCTGAGCTGGCACTGCAGTGCTGCCCAGGATGAAATGCAGGGGCCATGACCAGGTTCAAAACCTGATGGAGATTACACACTGCCTTCTCAGCATTTCTGCTCACTTCGTGCACTTCTGACCTCTGGTCTACCTGAAAGTCCCTGCAACTTTACTGCTTTCTTATCTACACAACTGCCTCATGGGAAACAATAAATGGCTGCAATCTTCCTTTTCTGTTGAATCTGTTTTTTAAAAGGGCAGAAGTAATGAGGATTTTTCCTTTAAGCGTGGTGTACCCCATTTGAGTGCAGGGGAACACATCAGGTAGCATGATAAAGCATTATTGAACTTGTTAAGGTTTATCAGGTGAACGCAGCAGCTCCTTTCACTCACTTCTGCGTCTCCGCAGCCACAGCTGCCATCCCCTAAACAGAAGCAGTCCGTACCGCCCACCGCATCACGAGTGCGGGCTGCGGCTGCGCGGCTCGACGGGAACGCGGCAGTTCTCAGCCGGCAGCAAAAGAAATCTTCGAAGGGGAGGGGACGGGAGCGGGGCCGGTGTCACCGCCGGGCAGGACGCGCTCGTCCCTCCGCAGCGCTCAGCGCCGTCTGCGCCCTGCCGGCACCGCCCCGTGGCAGCGGAGCCTCGGGCCGTGAGTCGGAGGCGCTGTGGGAGCTCCGTGCAGCCTTATCTCGCGTCCGTCGTGGCCCGGCTCCGTGTGCGGCTCTGCGCGGCGGGGAGGCGGCGGCCGCGAGCGGGGACCGTGACGGTGAGGGAGGGCCGTGCGGGAGCCGCCTGGCTGTGGGAAGGCGGCGGTGGGAGACGGGAGCGGAGCGGGGAGCTGCCGGTGCGCTGAGGGTGGGCTGTCGTCGGCGAGATGAGAGATGCGCGGGTCGCGTCGAGGAGGGCTTTGGCGAACGCGTGTGGCTGAGGCTGAGGAAGCGGCGGCCCGAAGGCAGCCCCGAGGCCGGGCCGGCCCGAGCCCCTCTGCGGTTGTGCCCACAGCTGCGGCCGCACCATGCTGCGCTTCCTGTGGGACAGCGTCTCCCTGCAGATGCTCTTCGTCTTCCTCTTGGTCTTCCTGCTGGTCGCTGACTACGTGAAGAGGAGAAAGCCCAAGGACTTCCCTCCCGGTCCTTTTTCCTTCCCTTTCCTGGGAAATGTGGAATTTTTGTTTGCCAAAGACCCCATGGCTGCAACACAGAAGGTAAGGGGACTTTCATCTTGGGGGGAGGGCCATCCCAAACTACTCACATTCAAGCCCCGTGGTCCACAGAGGGTTCTCAGTGCAGGAGAATATGTTTGGCCTGGGCTCAGTAGACAACATGGATGGTGTTTGGCTTGGAATACAGAGCAATGTTCTTTGGGTAAAAGGGCATGGTATAACACCTTGTGTTTGACTGCAGCTGTAGGCATATCTGTTGGGAAGGGAAGTCAGGAAGAGAATTAAACATCAGCTGAAAATACTTGTTCTGCTGAGCCTTGCAAAGCCTGGAAAATGCAACCTGGAGGGTTTGAGTCCAACTGCAGAGCAGTGACAGAAGAAATGAGGAAAAAGAATGCATGCTATCAATGCAACACTTCTGCAATTATTCTATCTCTCCCAGAGTCATTTTGCCCCATTTCCATGACAGCTCTTCTGGTCCCAACCTGTGGGTGCAGGATACCAGTGTTTTCCCTCTTCAAGCAGAAAAATTCATTGCAAATTAATCGTGGTTTATTTCTTTACCTCATCCCCAGTTTATTGAAAAACATGGAGACATCTTCAGCACGCAAGTGGGCAGCATGTCGTTTGTGGTGGTAAACGGGCTGCAAATGATCAAGGAAGCCCTTGTGACCCAGGGAGAGAATTTCGTAGATCGCCCGGAATTTCCTGCTAATACAGAACTCTTCAACAAATTCGGTGAGTAATCAGTGGAGACAGGGATCTGAAACACAAAGTCAAAGTGCTGTCCAATTAAATGTGCCAGAAGGGAATGCTGTGGCTTTGCATTCTCACTAAGCAGAGTCACCAGCATGGCTGAGCCTCCTTTATCAAGGCTTACATCCTCCATCATCTTCCCCTTGCTGAGAGCATCTTCCTTTGCTCACTGTGGAATGCTTCTGCCAGGGCTGATCTCCTCCAATGGGCATCTGTGGAAGCAGCAGAGAAGGTTCACCTTGACCACCCTCCGAAATTTTGGCCTGGGGAAGAGGAGCCTGGAGGAGCGGATCCAGGAGGAGTGCCGGTTCCTCACGGATGCGTTCAGGGATGAGCAGGGTGAGGACCACTTCCCTCAGCAGTTGTGCTGAAGGCAGAATCCATCTTGGACCATTTTAATTTCCCCTATGCAAATGCCTAGTGAAAAATCACAGAGTCATAGAATCATTTCAGTTGGAAAATCCTTCTAAGATCACCAACTCCAATTCCAGCCCATTCCCAGCGTGCCCACTAGCCACGTCCCTCAGTGCCACATCAACGCATTTTCTAATGCCTCCATAGATGGTGACTCTGCCACCTCTGTGGGCATCCTGTTCCAATGTCTGACCACTTCTCCTGGAAATTCTACTTAATACCTCACCTACATGTACAGCAATTCAAGGCCCTTTTGTCTCATCCTATCATGGTTACCTAGGAGAAGAGATCAACACCAAATTCACTGCAACCTTCCTTCTGGGAGTGGCGAAGGGCAATGATTTCTCCACTGAAACTCCTACAAGCTGAGCAATCTCAGTTCTCACAGCTGGCCATTGCAGTTGTGTTCCAGACCCTTTACAGCTTTGTTGTCATTCTCTGGACACAATCCAGGACCTCAATGTCTTTCTTGAAGAGAGGGGCACAAAACTCAACCCAGCACTCAAGGGGGAGCCTCACCAGTGCCAAGAACAGTGGCATGATCACCACCCATTCCTGCTGACTACACTACAGCTGACACGAGCTAGGATGCCCTTTGCCTTCTTGGCTACGTAGGCACACTACTGGCTCACCTTCAGTCAGCTGCCAACAATTTTCTTCATCTCACAAGCAATGCTGGTAATGTGCCAGCATCCCAGACTCCCTCTACAGGTGTTTTGCCTTCAGATTAACTGATAGATACAGCTATGTAACAGTACTCTTACCCCACCTTTGTCCTCTTGCTGAATTGGAGACCTCTAGGAAATACCATGGACCTGTCAGCACCAATGTTCACAATTAATTCCTATGGTGTTTCCTCTTCTGAGTCATTTCAGATCTTTTTTTCCCAAGCAAACAACCTTTTCCAAGAAGGTGCCCACTGAAAACCACTCATTTCATGTTGACTATTTTCCCTCTGATAATGGTGCTTTCTTCCCTTTTTTTCTGTGGAGTCAAGAAGAGAATTGATTGTTCCCTTTTCCATCTCCAGGAAATCCTTTCAACCCTCACCTTAAAATCAACAATGCTGTTTCAAACATCATCTGCTCCGTCACCTTTGGCAATCGGTTTGAATACCATGATGAGGACTTCCAAAACTTGCTGCGGATGATGGATCAGACTGTTACCCTCCAAGGGAAGATAATGAGCCAGGTACAGCCCTCCTGCTCCAGCACAGGAGGCCTGCAGATTTGAAGAGCTGTTGTTTCTTCTCTGGAGTCAACTGCAAAAGCTTGAGCACTTTCTTAGCTTCATAGGTGATCTCAAGTTGGGAAAAATTTACCAGGGCACTCATGTCCAGTTCCTGACTCCACACAGAAATATTGAACATCAACACCTATGTCTGAGAGCGTTGCCCAATGACGCCTTGATCTCAGTTAGATCAAGGCTGTGCCCACTGCCCCCAGTGCCTGTTCCATGTCCAATGTTTCCTCTCTCTCAGCCTGACCTCCCCTCACACAGCTCCGTACCAGTCCCTTGAATCCTATTGCTGCCACCAAAGAGCCGGGCTCAGCTCTGCCCTCTGCTCTCTGCAACAAGGCACAGGTTGCTGTGAGGCTTCCTCTCAGTCTTCTCCACGGTGCACAAAACAACAGACCTCAGCATTCTTCATACATTTTGCTGTGTAAAGCCATCTCTGTCTTCATAGCACTCCTTTAGAGCTCTCTGATAGATTTGTACCCTAATATATCGCAGCACCCAAAACTGCACACTGCTCAAGGTGAGGCCATCAAGCATAGGGGGCTGGTGAATCGCAGGAGACGTTTCCCTCTGCTCTGGGGTCACAAGATTTTCCCTGGTGCTTCCCACAGCTGTGTGGTGGCTCTCCATTGCTGCATGTGTCCTTGCAAAGATGCCAGATGTGCTCCCCCTGGATCACAAAGCCAGTCTATCCCCAGCTGGTTTTCCAGTGCTTTGGGAAGGAACTGAAAGCAGTAGAGATTTTGGGCTGTTCCCTAGGAGAGGTTATGGGAAGGAGCAAAAGCTAATGTACAAGGGGCGTTTGTTGCCATTCGTCATTCCATTGAAAAGGGTACATCAGCCAGTAATCTCTGTGCAGCGTTCAGTTTGCTCTCCCTCCCCCTGCATCACCACTCCCGACCCGCAGAGTGCCAAGCTCCCTGCTGTGACTCAGGAACTCACTAATCACTCTCATTGTGGAGATATCAATCCTTTCCCATGCTTTTCTGGACAGAAGATAATTCCATCTACTCCAACAATGTAGGCTGTGCCTTTGCGTGCTTTTCAAGTTTAAAGAATAGGTGGGGTTTTTTAGTCCTTTCTTGAATTTGCGCATCTCTCTTTCTTTCCAAAGCTGTACGTCTTTTTTCCATCCATAATAAAATACTTCCCTGGATCCCACCAAACCATTTTGAAAAATGTGAGGCTCATGAAAAGGTTTGTGTGCGAGAAGATCAGCAAACATAAGGAAGACCTGAACCCCTCAGAGAGCCGAGACTTCATCGACAGCTACCTGCAGGAGATGGCCAAGGTCAGCAGTGTGGAGCAAGCCCTTCCTCAGTGGGGATTGAGATCAGGAGGGTTGAGAAACAAGCCAGATCCTGAGCTGCTGGTGTGTCCATATGTGAGCTCAGGATGGACATTAGTTTGGAGCATCCATTGGAGGGATGGGGATGCAGAAGTCCTGCAGCTTCTAGCAAAACTCCTAGAAAGGAATGAATCTGATTTTTGAGGAAGTTCTTGCTTTTAATGTGGCACTAACACTTGATTTTCTGAAGCCCAATGGCAGGGAATTCTGCGAGGATAACCTGGTTGCATGCACTCTCGACCTGTTTTTTGCTGGGACTGAGACCACCTCCACAACCATCCGCTGGGCCCTGCTGTTTATGGCCGTATACCCAGAGATTCAAGGTACAGGTAGCAGCACTGCTATCCGTTTCCTATTTTTAGCCCTTGTAGCTTGGTGAGAGTTTATCCTTGTTGAAAGAAGTGGAAATACTGTGTTCTCCAACAGATTTACTGCAAGTATTGGTTTTGTTTTTAACTGTTTACCTTCAATGTTTTAAAGCTTTTCCTAGTGATTTTGTTGTTCTTTCTCATGGGACAAACAGGCAAATGTGCCCATATGCCCCACAAGCACTGGAGACCACTGTGGGCTGTCCAGCAAAGGCAAAAAGGGGCTCTGCCAAGGGCCCATTTAGTGTATGTAGTGAGAGATGAACATGCAGAGAGGTGCCACAAGTCCCCTGGTGGCACAGGATTGACCTGGGATGGTCCTTGGGGGACCTGCACAGCAAAAATATTGTGGTGTCCCCAGCGTTTCTATGGTTTTGCTGCACCATAGCTGATCCCTGCTCTTTCCAAACAGCCCGTGTGCAAGCAGAGATCGATGCTGTTATTGGGCAGTGCCGACAGCCAGCCCTGGAGGACAGGAACAACATGCCCTACACCAATGCTGTTATCCATGAAGTGCAGAGGAAAGGCAACATCGTCCCTTTCAATGTGCCTAGAGAGGCAGTGAAGGACACAGTCTTGGCTGGCTTCCGGGTGCCCAAGGTAAACCCAGTTTGGATCAGTGAGGTCTGAGCAGGAGACTTCCATCTCCCCTTTGCTGCAGGGACAGAGGTGCAGCATTGCTGCCTGTCCCAGAGGTCACTGCTGTGGATCGTGTTGTTTTGCTCACCCAACACTGTTGTCCAGCACACTGCATTCTCAGTGCCCAGGATGAATGCCATGAGGTGCGGCATCCGTGTATATCAGGGAGGGACAGAGCCCTGAGCATGCAGCTTTTTCTTAGATGAATTTTTAGGAATAGTTATGTTCATGAGAGAAAAGGGTGGATATATGCTCATTGCATATCAAAGTAGTCCAGAAGAAGGCAAATGTGGCCCATAAAAGGAGTGGGACACATCCTTGTGAGATCTGACTATGGATGCACTTAATGGCTGGCACATAGAAGGGTAAAAATCCCCCTCATGATGACAGTGGCAGAGAGAGCGCAAAGTGATTTTCTTTCTCTTGTCTCAGGGCTCTGTTTTGATCCCAAACCTATCCTCTGTGATGTACGACAAAAAGGAATGGGAAACGCCTCACAGTTTTAACCCCGGGCATTTCCTGAAGGACGGTCAGTTCTGGAAAAGGGAGGCTTTTATGCCATTTTCTATAGGTAAGACCAGCTGCAGTTTGATGCTTCTGTGATGAAACACTGGGATGGGGCTTTCAGCTGCGCAATGGAGCACCTGAGATAAGCACTGATGGAAAATGCAGACACTTGCTTCAGAACAGGGAAGTGCTACTTGCCCACTGCCCTTATCAGTGCAGACAGACCCCTAGCAATGACCTCTTAGACCTTTCTTCACAAACATATGACTACAAAAGTGCCTGAGAAATGCATTCAGAAATGCCAGTGCTCTGTGCTGCTGGTCCCATATGACTGAGTTCAATGGGCTTTGCCACCACCACCACAGGGTGCCCTGTCCTGGCCAGCAGCTTCCTTGTGAAGAGTGATTTTAGCATCTCCAGTTTCCTGCCCTAGCATGGCACGCTTTCTCTGGTGATTTGGTTCCATTCCTTGGAGCCCAGCCAGGCATACAGGGAATGCAGCTGAAGTCCTGTTCAATCCAGCAGGGTAGGATAAAACGTGTACATATACATTTATATGTATGTGCCCTCATTAAGTCACCCAGCTAGAGGAAGACCGTGCTACAGCTCCATGAGGAGCTCAGCTGGGATGGCAGTCCTGGTGCTGGAAATGTAAGGTGGGCACGGGGATGCGGGCAGGGCGATGTTCCTGCAGGAGCTGTATGCCGAGGCTTTTCCAGCAGAGAAAGCAGCTGGGCAGCCAGCAGGGCTGAATGGGCGCTGGGCGGCTGTCTCCGCAGGGAAGCGCGCCTGCCTGGGTGAGCTGCTGGCCCGCGCCGAGCTCTTCCTCTTCTTCACGGCTCTGCTCCAGAAATTCACCTTCCAGGCTCCCCCGGACACCATCCTCGACCTCAAATTCACACAGGGCATCACCTTGGCCCCACGGCCCTACAAGATCTGTGCAGTGCCTCGATAGGAAGCAGAGCCACTATTCTCAGAGGGAGAACTCTCAGCTTTGGCACAAGTACACTGACAGCCTCTGTGCACCTTTCACCTTTGTCTACTTGAATTTCCCTGCTTCTTTATTGCTTACTTATTTACTCATACTGCTTTGTGAGTTACAATAAAGGTTGCAGTCTTCCTTTTCTTCCTCCTTGATGTTTTACGCAAGAAGAAGACATGGTGTAGCAAATCAGGAAAGGAAGGTAAGAGACTAGCCTGGCTGAACTGGGACCTTCTAGTTGCCTTCTACAATAGTGTCACTGCATCAGTGGACAAGGGAGGAGCCACTGAAGTCATCTGGCTCAACTTCAGTAAGGCCTTTGACATGGAACCCCACAACATCCTTCTCTCCAAATTGGAAAGGTATGGATGTGACGGGTGGACTGCTCAATGGACAAAGAACTGGCTGCAGGATTGAGTCAGAGAGTGGTGGTCAATGGCTCAATGTCTGGATGTAGGTTGGTGACAAATGGTGTCTCCCAGGGGTTGATGCTGGGGCTGATACTCCATCGCTACATCAACAGTGGAATTAAGTGCATCCTCAGCAAGTTTGCTGGTGCTACCAAGCTGTGGGGTGCAGTTGACACACCAAAGGGATGGGATGCCTTTTGAAGGGATCTAGACAGGCGGAGCAGTGGGCCCAGGTGAACCTCATTCTGCACGCAGTGGTATAAAGACACTTCAGCTGTGCTTTCTGACATACCACCTTACTAGAGTGGGCCTCCCTCAAACCTCTGGAAGAACTGTGAAGTTTTCTCCCACTGGTTCCTAGAGGGACCTGAGAGGGTTTTGTATGTGGGGCTGGCAATATTACCTGCTCTGAGGAGTTCCCAGAAGAACGTAGGTAGAACAGTTCAGAGGCTTTTCCCCGCAATCTCCTGGCCTGACAGCAAGTCCAAGCCTTTCTCTGTCCTGCCGCAGTTGACATTCTTCCCCCATCAAAACTAGTATAAAGCCTCAGGCTGCTCACTCTACCCTAGCAAGCCTCACTGCATCCCCTACCCTTTTCCCACCTAGTGTAAAGCCCTTAAATGGAACTCAAAGGCCTGATAGCAGCCTTTCAGTATCTAAAGGGGAGGAAAGAAGAGGAGAAACTCTTCAGCAGGTCCTGTGGTGATAGCAATAGGGGAAATGGCTTCAAGCTCAAAAAGCTTTAGGTTAGCTCTAGATTTAGGTTAAATACAAGCAAAAAATCTTTTATAATGAGAGTGGTGAGGCACTGGAACAGCTTACATTGTGATGTTGTTGATGCCACATCCCTGCAGACTTTCAAGGCGAGGCTGGATCAGCCCTGGACAACATGACCTAGCTGTGGAGTCCCTGTGCATTGCAGGAGAATTGGACTAGGTGGCCTTTAAAGGTCCCTTCCAAGTCTACAGATTCTATGATTCTAGGATAATATTCACTTTAAGAGTGGAGCATCTCACGTGAGTGCAAGGGAGCTTTTCTGAGCGCTTGAGAGTCCATGATGCAGCAGGGAATTAACTTGTTAAAGGGTAGCAGGTGAACGCAGCAGCTCCTTTTACTCACTTCCGCATCTCCGCAGCCACAGCTGCCGCCCACCAAACAGAAGCAGCCCGCACCGCCCACCGCATCACGAGTGCGGGCTGCGGCCGCGCGGCGCGACGGGAACGCGGCAGTTCTCAGCCGGCCGGCAAAAGAATTCCTCGAAAGGGACGGGAGCGGGGCCGGTGTCACCGCCGGGCAGGACGCGCTCGTCCCTCCGCAGCGCTCAGCGCCGTCTGCGCCCTGCCGGCACCGCCCCGTGGCAGCGGAGCCTCGGGCCGTGAGTCAGAGGCGCTGTGGGAGCTCCGTGCAGCCTTATCTCGCGTCCGTCGTGGCCCGGCTCCGTGTGCGGCTCTGCGCGGCGGCGAGGTGGGGACCGTGAGGGTGAGGGAGGGCCGTGCGGGAGCCGCCGGGCTGTGGGAAGGCGGCGGTGGGAGACGGGAGCGGAGCGGGGAGCTGCCGGTGCGCTGAGGGTGGGCTGTCGTCGGCGAGATGAGAGATGCGCGGGTCGCGTCGAGGAGGGCTTTGGCGAACGCGTGTGGCTGAGGCTGAGGAAGCGGCGGCCCAAAGGCAGCCCCGAGGCCGGGCCGGCCCGAGCCCCTCTGCGGTTGTGCCCACAGCTGCGGCCGCACCATGCTGCGCTTCCTGTGGGACAGCGTCTCCCTGCAGATGCTCTTCGTCTTCCTCTTGGTCTTCCTGCTGGTCGCTGACTACATGAAGAGGAGAAAGCCCAAGGACTTCCCTCCCGGTCCTTTTTCCTTCCCTTTCCTGGGAAATGTGCAATTTTTGTTTGCCAGAGACCTCTTGGCTGCAACAGAGACGGTAAGGGGATTTTAAGTGTCTTGAAGGAACCCACTTAACCCCATCACATTAAATCCAATGGCCCACCGAAAGCTGTCCACAAGTGGTAAGGAGACCGCCCATGTTCAGTTGCAACAAGGATGAGGATTGCCTTGGAACACAGAGCCATGTCCTTTGGGCAGAGGGCATGGTACAGTGCCATGATTTCATCTGCAGCTGTAGGCCGGTCTAATGGGAAAACTTTTTGGGAAGGGAGTTACTGGAATTTTTTTTTCCAGTTACAATTACCGGAAAATCCTTCTCAGTTGAGTCTTGCAAAATCTGAAGAATGCAGCCTGGAAAGCTTCACAGCAACTCATGAAATCTGGTTTAGCAAATGAGGAACATGACTGTGTGCAGTCAAGCCAACATCCTTGTACTTGTGCAACCACATCTCTCTCAGGCTCAGCTTGCCCTGTCATGATTGCAAGTCTTTCTGTCCTTCCCTGTGGTGCACGATGCCAGGGCATGCATTCTTTCTTCAGAAAACGTCATTGCAAACCAATCACCATTTATTTATTTATTCATTTATTTACTCCTTGCACAGCTTACTGAAAAATTTGGAGATATCTTCAGTTTGCAAGCAGGCAGCCAGTCATTTGTGATTGTAAATGGGCTTCCACTGATCAAGGAAGCTCTTGTGACCCAGGGAGAGGACTTCATTGGTCGCCCTGAAATTCCTCTTGATACAGATATCTTCAGTAAATTGGGTGAGCTATCTATTTAAATTCATATCTGCAATGTGCTGTTAATGTGTTTCAAATATACCAGAAGGAAAGCTGGAGAAAATGCCATGGCTTGACACATGGTGAGCAGAGTCACCAGCACGCTTAAGCTCCCTTTATCAAGGCAGATACCCCCCGTCTTCTTCCCCTTGCTGAGAGCATCTGTCTTTGCTCACTGTGCAATGCTTCTGCCAGGGCTGATCTCCTCCAATGGGCACCTGTGGAAGCAGCAGAGAAGGTTCACCTTGACCACCCTCCGAAATTTTGGCCTGGGGAAGAGGAGCCTGGAGGAGCGGATCCAGGAGGAGTGCCGGTTCCTCACGGATGCGTTCAGGGATGAGCAGGGTGAGGACCACTTCCCTCAGCAGTTCAGTTCAGTTGCACTGAAGGCAGAATCCATCTTGGGCTGTTTCTGTTTCCCTGATGCTAATACCTGCTGAAAAATACCTCATTTCACAGGGAATGCTGGCAACCTGCCAGCATCCCAGATTCTTTCTACAGGTGCTTTGTCCTCAGATTAACTGATAGATGCTGCTAGGTTACACTCAAAACATCATTCTTTGCCCACCTTTGGTTTATCACTCCATTTGAAACTTTTAGAACATTCCTTGGGGCTGTTGACACGAATGTTTCCAGTTAATTCCAGTGGTGTTTGCAACTATTCCACATCTTTCTTTTCAATGAAACCAACCAGAAGGTGTCCACTGAGGGCCACTCATTTCACTTGTTGAATATTTTCCACTGATTATGGTGCTTTCTTCCCTTTCTTTCTGTGGATATGGGTAGAAAATTGATTGTTCGCTTTTCCTTCTCCAGGAAATCCTTTTAACCCTCACCTTAAAATCAACAATGCTGTTTCAAACATCATCTGCTCCGTCACCTTTGGCAATCGGTTTGAATACCATGATGAGGACTTCCAAAACTTGCTGCGGATGATGGATCAGACTGTTACCCTCCATGAGAGCATAATGAGCCAGGTACAGCCCTCCTCCTCCTGATGAACAAACCAAGGGACCATATCTGATCCTCATACACCTTGGCTTGTAGACACTTCAGCACTGACACTCCTTTGAACACTCATTGATAGTTTTATATCCTTTTTATATTGTAGACCCAAAATCTCTCAAGGAGAGGTTTTGGGAAGGAGCAACACTGAACAAATCAAGGGTGTTGTAGCTATCCTCCACGCAGTGTATATCAGTCAGTAATTTCTTTCAGCCATATTTTCAAGCTATGCAATGCTGACATTGCTCTCTTTCCCATCACATCACTGCTCCTAACCACTGAGTGCCAAGCTCCCTGCTGTGACTGAGGAGCACACTAGTTACTCGATTGTGAAATGGAGATACCAATCCTTTGTCATGCTCCTCTGGAGATAGATAAGTTAATTCCATCTACTCCAGCATTGCAGGGCGGTGGCTTGCAGGTTTTTCAAGTCTTGAAAACAGGAGGGGATTGCTTTCCTTTATTCAATTTGTTATCTCTTTTTCTATCCAAAGCTGTACAATGCTTTCCCCTCCGTAATAAAGTACCTCCCAGGATCTCACCAAACCATATTTAAAAACTGGAGGCTGATGAAAAGGTTTGTGTGCGAGAAGATCAGCAAACATAAGGAAGACCTGAACCCCTCAGAGAGCCGAGACTTCATTGACAGCTACCTGCAGGAGATGGCCAAGGTCAGCAGTGTGGAGCAAGCCCTTCCTCAGTGGGGACTGGAGATCAGGAGGGCTGAGAAGCAAATGAAATTCCCCACCTGAGCTGCTGGTGTGTCCATATGTGAGCTCAGGATGGACGTTAGTTTTGGGGCATCCACTGGAGGGATGAGGATGCAGCTTCTGCCAAAAGCCTTGAGGCAGAACTGTGTGGGGGTATTGAGGAAGTCCTCACTGCTCATGTGACACTAACGCTTGATTTTCTGAAGCCCAGTGGCAGGGAATTCCATGAGGATAACCTGGTGGCATGTACTCTTGACCTACTGTTTGCTGGGACTGAGACCACCTCCACAACCATCCGCTGGGCCCTGCTGTATATGGCCATGTATCCAGAAATTCAAGGTACACATAGCAGCAGGGCTGTGTGCTTTTCCTGTTTTTAAACCTTGGTGAGAGACTCCTTTTGGCTGAAAGGAAAAACAGGAATCCCTCCGTACAAATGAGGAACAAATGCTTTCTTCTGTATTCAGGCACACGTATAAGCTGTTTTAAAACTTCCCCTGGTAATTCTGTAATGCTTTAATATGGGACCAAGAACCAAACGCAGGCACTTCCCCCCACAAGCACTGGAGATCCCTGAGGGCTTTATAGCAGAAGCGGAAGAGGCTTTGAAGGGAGAATAGGGTCCATGCAGCAGCTTGAGTGATGAACATGCGGAGAAGTACCATGAGTGTCCTGGTGGTACATGATTGAGCTGGGATGGTCCTTTGAAGACTTGCATAGCAAAAAGTTCATGGTCTTCCCAGAGATCCATGGCTTTGCTGCACCATAGCTGATCCCTGCTCTTTCCAAACAGCCCGTGTGCAAGCAGAGATCGATGCTGTCATTGGGCGGACACGACAGCCAGCCCTGGAGGACAGGAACAACATGCCCTACACCAATGCTGTTATCCATGAAGTGCAGAGGAAAGGCAACATCGTCCCTTTCAACGTGCCCAGAGAGGCGGTGAAGGACACAGTCTTGGCTGGCTTCCGGGTGCCCAAGGTAACACCAATCCCTAGCACTGAGTCGTTAGGAGGAGACTCCCATTTCTCCATTCCTGCTGGGAGAAAAATGCAGCATCGCTGCCCGTTACAGAAATCACTCCTGTGGATCATATTTTGCTGTCCCAAAATCACTTTCCAGCACACTGCATTGTCTGTGTCCAGAACGAAGGCCATGAGGTGAGGCATCCACACACATCCTCAAGGAATAGAGCCCTCCTCATGCAGACTTTTCTTAGAGGAACTTTGAACAAAAAAATGCTGACGAGAGAAAAGTGCAGGTATATCTTGATCAAATAGCCAAGAAGTAGGAAAATATGGCCAGGAAAAAAAGGAGGAACACATGCTTGTGACAAATTTAACTATGGGTGATCTTCATGGCAAGCAAAAGGGAACGTTAAAACACTCTGGTGCAGTGGCAGAGAGAGTGCAAAGTGATTTTTCTTTCTCTTGTCTCAGGGCACTATTTTGATCCCAAATCTAACCTCTGTGATGTTTGACAAGAAGGAATGGGAAACGCCTCACAGTTTTAACCCTGGGCATTTCCTGAAGGATGGTCAGTTCTGGAAGAGGGAGGCTTTTATGCCATTTTCTATAGGTAAGATCAGCTGCAGTTTCTTCTTCATCACAGTGCATCTGTGCTGAAGCACTGGGATGGGGCTTCCAGCTGCACAATGAAGACCCTGAGCAAACTAGTGATGGAAAATGCAGACATTGGCTGTATCCACGTGAGGTGCTGCTTGCTGCCTTCCTATATGGGTGAAAAGTAGTCACTTCCTTAGCAGTGACCATGTAGCCACCTCAAAGCACCACTCCCATCTCTTAGCCCCTTATTCGCAAACACAGGAGCTGGGAAAAATGCTGGAGACCCCAACAGAGCATTCAGCAAGGTGAGAGCAGTGCTCTGTGCTCCCAGTCCCACACAGCTGAGGTCAATGGGCTTTGCCACCACCACCACAGGGTGCCCTGTCCGGGTCAGCAGCTTCCTGGTGGAGAGTGATTTTAGCATCTCCAATTTCCTGCCCAAGAATGACACGCTTTCTCTGGTGATTTGGCTCCAAGCTGGGCTCATGGGGACTGCACGTGAAGCACTGCTCATCCCAGCAGGGTAGGACAAAATGTGTGTGTATACACTGACATGCACGTGCCCTCACTGCAGCACCCAGCTGGGGGCAGATGGTGCTACAGCTCCATGAGAGCTCAGCTGGGATGGCAGTCCTGGTGCTGGAAATGTAAGGTGGGCACGGGGATGCGGGCAGGGCGATGTTCCTGCAGGAGCTGTGTGCCGGGGCTTTTCCAGCAGAGAAAGCAGCTGGGCAGCCAGCAGGGCTGAATGGGCGCTGGGCGGCTGTCTCCGCAGGGAAGCGCGCCTGCCTGGGTGAGCTGCTGGCCCGCGCCGAGCTCTTCCTCTTCTTCACGGCTCTGCTCCAGAAATTCACCTTCCAGGCTCCCCCGGACACCATCCTCGACTTCAAATTCATTCTGGGCATCACCTTGGCCCCGCGGCCCTACAAGATCTGTGCAGTGCCTCGATAGGAAGCACAGCCACTGTTTTGGGGAGGGGATCTTCTTGGCTTTGGAGCAGTTCCACAAACTGAGCCCTCACTGGTTGCTGTGGGCTCATCAGCAGTTTTATTTCTTTGAAAGCAATTACGAAATCACTTGTTTTTACAAGTGGATCTTGCTCACTGTATCAGGTGAGAAAAACAATTGGTATTGGATGGGCTGGGGCACTTTTGGGCTTGCAGCACAGTACTGTCAATGAATGAGGAGCTCAGGACATTCTTAATTCTATGCTGGATGGCCGTACTTCATAGCAGCAAGAAAATCTGCAGTGTTAGAGATTTCTTTTCTTGAGCTGTAGCCCAGATCTGTCAGAACACAGTAGCAGCCCTTGCAGTACAACATTAATACCAGTAGCAATCAGAAACTTTTTTTAACTTTGATCTCTGGAAAATAATTTGTAAGAAATAAAATACAAGCATAACTTGTATCACCTCTCCTTCTAGTACATCAATAAATAATTACTAAACATCATCCTGTGACTCTGCCACATCCTCTACTTCTCTGTGCCAGACAGGTGGAAGACAACAGGTTGGGCAGAGGTGATATGTCTGTTTTGCAGATTTGTAATGCAGAGATGAGAGAACAAGCCCTGGGAACCAAACAAACCCACTGATACAATGCAGGATCCTTGACAGCTTCCCTCTGGATGTAGGATGAGCCCTTCCTGACCCTGCTCTAACCAAACCCTGGCACTATCTGCCATGCAGCTACCACTGCTGTCCTCTTCTGCTCCCACTGAGGGTCTCCCACACCTTCCCTGCACAGCAGAAATGGGGATGTTCAACTGACTTTCCAGACCTTATGTTCCTTCTTTTCCTTCCTTTCCTTCTTTAGAATAGCGAGAAGGGAATGACAGTGCTTCTCACTGGCTGCTTCAAACCTGCCATGTTTTAACAGACACAAAATATCCACAGACTGTATTCATGTACATGAATATGTGATTTTCTAATGCCATTCCAGACTACACAGTGACTTCTCTCGACTTCTGCTCTCTCTGGTGCAGGTCTGATCCCTGGGACATGGAAACAACTCTTTTATTTGCACTGCGTGAGCAAACAAATACTAATCACTTCCCTTTTATTTTATGCTCTATTGCTTCCTTATCTAGCTACGCTGCATCATGGGAGGAAACAAATGGTTGCAGTCTTCCTACTCTTTTCTTCCGCACTGATTTTTCAACAAGGCAAAAGCCGTGAAGATGTTTATCTTAAGAGCAGAGTATCCCATGTGAGTGCAGGGGAACGCTTCAGGTTGCATGAAAAGGTTGAACTTCTTAAAGTTGATCATAGGACCGCAGCAGCTTCGCTGCGCGCAGCGCCTTCATCCGGACAAATCCATTTTGCCACAGCTGCCGACCCCAAACAGAAGCAGCCCGCACCGCCCACCGCATCACGAGTGCGGGCTGCGGCTGCGCGGCGCGACGGGAACGCGGCAGTTCTCAGCCGGCAAAAGAATTCCTTGAAAGGGACGGGAGCGGGGTCGGTGTCACCGCCGGGCAGGACGCGCTCGTCCCTCCGCAGCGCTCAGCGCCGTCTGCACCCTGCCGGCACCGCCCCGTGGCAGTGGAACCTCGGGCCGTGGGTCAGAGGCGCTGTGGGAGCTCCGTGCAGCCTTATCTCGCGTCCGTCGTGGCCCGGCTCCGTGTGCGGCTCTGCGCGGCGGGGAGGCGGTGGCCGCGAGCGGGGACCGTGACGGTGAGGGAGCCGCCGGGCTGTGGGAAGGCGGCGGTGGGAGACGGGAGCGGAGCGGGGAGCTGCCGGTGCGCTGAGGGTGGGCTGTCGTCGGCGAGATGAGAGATGCGCGGGTCGCGTCGAGGAGGGCTTTGGCGAACGCGTGTGGCTGAGGCTGAGGAAGCGGCGGCCCAAAGGCAGCCCCGAGGCCGGGCCGGCCCGAGCCCCTCTGCGGTTGTGCCCACAGCTGCGGCCGCACCATGCTGCGCTTCCTGTGGGACAGCGTCTCCCTGCAGATGCTCTTCGTCTTCCTCTTGGTCTTCCTGCTGGTCGCTGACTACATGAAGAGGAGAAAGCCCAAGGACTTCCCTCCTAGTCCTTTTTCCTTCCCTTTCCTGGGAAATGTGCAATTTTTGTTTGCCAAAGACCCCATGGCTACAACACAGAAGGTAAGGGGATTTTCAGCATGGTGAGGGGACCCCCCTAACCCCATCACATTAAATCCAATGGCCCACCGAAAGCTTTAATTGAGTGGGAAGGAGACCGCCCATGTTCAGTTGCAACATGGATGAGGATTGCCTTGGAACACAGAGCCACATCCTTTGGGCAAAGGGCATGGGTCTTCCACTGCATCCGTACGTGGGTGTGAGGACAAGGGTGACTGCAAAGGGAGTTAAACAACAGCTGAAAACTTTTGCTCACCTGAGTATTACAAAGCCTCAAAAATGCAACCTGGAAAGTTTTATATCTAATCCAGAACACTGACTCAAGAAACAAGGAAGAAGACTGCAAACAATCAAGCCAGTATTTATCACATCACTCTCCCAGGTTCAGCTTGCCCTATTTCCATTTCAAATCTCCCGGTCCTTCCCTATGGGTACAGGATTCTAGGAAAAAAAGTCCTTGCAAATCAAACCCATATTATGTACTTACCCCCTTCCCAGATCATTGAAGAACATGGAGATATCTTCAGCATGCAAGTAGGCACCCAGTCTTTTGTGATCTTAAATGGGCTGCAAATGATCAAGGAAGCCCTTGTGACCCAGGGAGAGAATTTCCTGGATCGCCCAGAAATTCCTATCAACACAGAGATCTTCAACAAATTGGGTGAGTTATCAGTAGTTACACATATCTGAAGCACAGTGAAAACAGCATTCTTTTGGACGTACCAGGAGGAAAGCTGGGGGAAACGTTGTAGCTTCACTTTGGCTCTGAACATGGCTACGTTCACAACTCCTCATTTATCAATATGCTGTCCAGTTTCTTCCCCTTGCTGAGAGGCATCTTCCTTTGCTCACTGTGGAATGCTTCTGCCAGGGCTGATCTCCTCCAATGGGCATCTGTGGAAGCAGCAGAGAAGGTTCACCTTGACCACCCTCCGAAATTTTGGCCTGGGGAAGAGGAGCCTGGAGGAGCGGATCCAGGAGGAGTGCCGGTTCCTCACGGATGCGTTCAGGGATGAGCAGGGTGAGGACCACTTCCCTCAGCAGTTGTGCTGAAGGCAGAATCCATCTTGGACCATTTTAATTTCCCCTATGCTAATGCCTGCTGAAAAATCATAGAACCACAGAATCATTATGGTTGGAAACAACCTCTAAGATCACCAAGTCCAACCCCAACCCATGCTCAGTACGTCCACTAATCATTTCTCTTAGTGCCACAGTTCCTTCTTCTTGAGAACCTCCAGGGATGAGAGGTTCTCTCTTCTTGAGAACCTCCATGACCTCTCTGGAATCATATGCCAATGTCTGATCAATTGTTCTGAAAAGAAATTTTTTGTAATATCCATCCTGAACCTCCCGTGGAAAAACTTAAGGCCATTACCTCTTATCCCATCACTGTTATTTAGGAAGTTAGGCCAAACCCCACTTTGCTCTAGCTTCTTTTCAGGGAGATGTATAGGGCAATAAAGTATCACCTGAGCCTTCTCTCCTCCAGACTGAACCATCCCAGTTTCTTCTGCAGCTGGCTATCAGAGTTGTTTTCCGGACCCTTCACAGCTTCATTCCCCTTCTCTGGACATGCTCCAGAGCCTCAATGTCTTTCTTGAAGAGAGGGGCCCAAAACTCAACTCTGCACCTGTATGGGAGATGCTGAGTCATGGCCTCAACCACTAATTGAGCACCTGAGGAAAGGACTCCCTCAGCCCTGGGAGCACAGGTGAAGGCAATGTGTGACCAGAAGGGGTGGAGCCTGGCTGCACCTCTCTCAGACCTCATTTAAGGGCTGACTGCCACTAAGGAAGGATCTCTTCTTGGAGATCTGTCCTTGGTGAAGCTTTCCTGTGTGAACCTGGAATCTTCTGCTACAGATAAGCAATCTTTTTCCCATCCTTTATAGCACCTTTCTTATTGTGTCACTCCTTTTGTCATCATATCTTTGTTGTAATGCCTTTCTCGTTGTATTGATCTGTCCAGTTACTACAGCACCCAAGATGTGGCCTCACAAGTACTGAGCACAGAGGGATGATCACCACCCTGCTCCTGCTGGCTACACTTCATCTGATACAAGCCCAGATGCTATTTTCATTCTTGGCCTCATGGGCATGCTCTGGCTCACCTTCTGCCAGCTGCCAACTAACCCACCAACATCCTCTTTCTCCTCATCTCATAAGCAATGCTAAGCAATCTGTCAGCATCCCAGACTCCTTCTATAAGTGTTTTGCCTTGAGATTAACTGATAGATGCAACTGTGTAACACTCAAAACAGTATTCTTAGCCTACCTTTGTCTATTGCTCCTTTTGAGACCTCTGGGAAATTCCATGGGCCAGTTAACACCAATATTCTGAATTAACACCAATGATGTTTGCTCTTCTGAAGCTGTTTTGCATTTTCCTTTCTAAGCAAACAAGCATCTCCAAGCAGGTGCCCATCCAGGATCTTTCATCCCACTTATTGAATATTTTCCTCTGATGATGGCACTTTCTTCCCCTTGTCTGCAGAGACCAGAAGAGAATGATTGCTCCCTTTTTCCTTCTCCAGGAAATCCTTTCAACCCTCACCTTAAAATCAACAATGCTGTTTCAAACGTTATCTGCTCCATCACCTTCGGCAGTCGGTTTGAATACCATGATGGAAACTTCCAAAACTTACTGCGGCTGATGGATGAGACTGTTCTCCTCCATGGGAAGATAATGAGCCAGGTACAGCCCCCCTCCCACCCCCAGAACAGAACAACAGACCTCAGCAATCCTCACGCGTTGGCCTTGTAGACCCTTCTCCATCTTTGTAGCACTCCTTTGGATGCTTTCTGATAGTTCTATATCCTTGCGTAATACAGCACACAAAACTGCACACTGCTCAAGGTGTGGGGGCTGGCCAATCCCAGGAGCTGTTTCTCCCTGCTCTGGAACCATGAGATTTTCTTTGCTGCTTCCCACAGCTTTGTGGTGCCTCTTCTCCCTTAAGATGTTCTGGTGCTGGTGCAGTCCCCAGTGAACACAAAGCTGAGCTACCCCAGCTGGTTTTCCTGTGCTTTGGGAAGGAGCTGAATACAGCACAGGGTTTGGGCAGGTCGCTAGGAGAGGTTATGGGAAGGAGCAATACTAAGGTTTCCAAGAGCACTCATTGCCATTCCTCTTTCCATTGCATCAAGTACATCTGCCTGTAATTTATTTCTGCCACATTCCCAAGCTGTGCAGTGCTCACATTGCTCTCTTTCATCACTGCTCCTGTCCACTGAGCACCAAGCTTCTTGCTGTAACTATGAAGAATGCAGTAATCTCTCTGGCAGTGGAGATAGCAATCCTTTGTCATGCTCTTCTGGTGAGGAGTTAATTCCATCTACTCCACTGTTGTAGGGTTGTGGCTTTACAGGCTTTTCAAGTTTTGAAAACGAATTGGGTTTTCAGTCCTTTACTCAATTTTCTTCTTTTTATTCTTTTTTTCTATCCAAAGCTGTACAATGCTTTCCCCTCCGTAATAAAGTACCTCCCAGGATCTCACCAAACCATTTTTGAAAACTGGAGACTCATGAAAGGTTTTGTGAAAGAGAAGATCAGCAAACATAAGGAAGACCTGAGCCCCTCAGAGAGCCGAGACTTCATTGACAGCTACCTGCAGGAGATGGCCAAGGTCAGCAGTGTGGAGCAAGCCCTTCCTCAGTGGGGATTGAGATCAGGAGGGCTGAGAAGCAAATGAAATTCCCCACCTGAGCTGCTGGTGTGTCCATATGTGAGCTCAGGATGGACGTTAGTTTTGGGGCATCCACTGGAGGGATGAGGATGCAGAGGGCCAGCACCTTCTGCCAAAACCCTTGAGGCGGGACTGAGTCTGATTTTGGGGGAAGTTCTTGCTTTTAATGTGGCACTAACACTTGGTTTTCTGAAGCCCAATGGCAGTGATTTCTGCGAGGATAACCTGGTTGCATGCACTCTCGACCTGTTTTTTGCTGGGACTGAGACCACCTCCACAACCATCCGCTGGGCCCTACTGTATATGGCCATATATCCAGAGATTCAAGGTATGAGTAGAACATGCACAGCCCTCTTGTAGCTTGGTGAGATATTCTGTTCAGGCCAAGAGAGGAGAAAAATTTGATAAGATTCAACTAAAGCAAGTGTAGAGTTTAGCACCTGTAGAGAAATAACCACAAGCAACAGTACAACAGTTTGGGGGTGGATGACCTATTGGAGAGGAGCTCTGCCAAGAAGGACCCCTTTATAAATACCTAAAAAGTGTGGGAGGCAATTGTATGTGGCTGGACTCTTTTCAGTGTTGTTTAGTATAAGAAAAGGAGGAACAGCCAAAAACTGGAACATAAGAAGTTCCACACAAACTTGCAGAAGAATTGCTTTAGAGTAGAAGTAACAGAGCGCTGGAAGAGGCTGCTCTGAGTGCTTAAGGTGTCTCCTCCTTGGCAGATACTCAGGACTTGCCTGGATGTTTACACGTGTGACCTACAGTAGGGAAGATGCTTAAGCAGGAGAGTTGGACTCGATCCCTAGTGATCTCTTCCAACCCTTGCAATTATGTGAATCCCTCAGTACTCTTGCAAATTAGGCACAGGAAAGTTTGGTGGTTTGTTTGTTTGTTTTTGCATTCAGCCACATGCCTCTGCTATGATGATCCTTGCCCTTCTAATATTGGAATACCAACAGACAAAAGGGGCAACCTCTCCAACAAAGACTGGCATTTTGGCAGAGGTGACAGGTGCACTGCACAGAGCTCAGGGCCCCTTTAGTACCTGAAGGTGCAAGATGCCCTGGTGATACATGATTGATGTGGGATGATCCTTGGGGGAGCCAAACAACAAAAATGACATGGTGTCCCTAGGGGAGCTATGGCTTTGCTGCATTATAGCTGATCCTTCCTCTTTCCAAACAGCCCGTGTGCAAGCAGAGATTGATGCTGTCATTGGGCAGACACGGCAGCCAGCCTTGGAGGACAGGGACAAGATGCCCTACACCAATGCCGTCATCCATGAAGTGCAGAGGAAAGGCAACATCGTTCCTTTCAGTTTGCCTAGAGAGGCAATGAAGGACACAGTCCTGGCTGGTTTCCACCTGCCCAAGGTAACTTCACTATACATCAGACAAGTCTTTAGGAGAACACTCCCATTTCCCAGTCCACAAAGGGACAAAGCAGCAGCATCATTACCCTGCCCAGAGATCACCCCTGAGGAAAAAATACTTGTGGTGGATTTGACTACAGATGTTCTTCATGGCAAGCACACAGGAAAGTAAAATTTTTCCTCCTGTTGGCAGTGGCAGAGAGAGTGCAAAGAGATTTTCTTTCTTTTTGCAGGGCACTATTGTAGTCCCAAACCTATCCTCGGTGATGCTTGACAAGAAGGAATGGGAAACCCCTCACAGCTTTAATCCTGAGCATTTCCTGAAGGATGGTCAGTTCTGGAAAAGGGAGGCTTTTATGCCATTTTCTATAGGTAAGATCAGCTGCACTTTGATGCTTCTGTGTGGAAGCACTGGGATGGGGCTCCTAGCTGCACAATGAAGACCCTCAGCAAACTAGTGATGGTAACAGCAGGCAGTGGCTGCACCCATGGGAGGTGCTGCTATCCTACTGCCCATAATGGTGCAAACTAAACCCTTCCTTAGCAGTGACCATGCAGCCACCTCAAAGCACCACTCCCATCTCTTAGCCCCTTATTCACAAACACAGGAACCTGGAAAAATGCTGGAGATTCCAACAGTGCATTCAGCAAGGTGAGAGCAGTGCTCTGTGCTCCCAGTCCCACACAGCTGAGGTCAATGGGCTTTGCTACCACCACCACAGGGTGCCCTGTCCTGGTCAGCAGCTTCCTGGTGGAGAGTGATTTTAGCATCTCCAATTTCCTGCCCAAGAATGACACGCTTTCTCTGATTTGGCTCCAAGCTGGGCTCATGGGGACTGCACGTGAAGCACTGCTCATCCCAGCAGGGTAGGACAAAATGTGTGTGTATACACTGACATGCACGTGCCCTCACTGCAGCACCCAGCTGGGGGCAGATGGTGCTACAGCTCCATGAGGAGCTCAGCTGGGATGGCAGTCCTGGTGCTGGAAATGTAAGGTGGGCACGGGGATGCGGGCAGGGCGATGCTCCTGCAGGAGCTGTGTGCCGAGGCTTTTCCAGCAGAGAAAGCAGCTGGGCAGCCAGCAGGGCTGAATGGGCGCTGGGCGGCTGTCTCCGCAGGGAAGCGCGCCTGCCTGGGTGAGCTGCTGGCCCGCGCCGAGCTCTTCCTCTTCTTCACGGCTCTGCTCCAGAAATTCACCTTCCAGGCTCCCCCGGACACCATCCTCGACTTCAAATTCATTCTGGGCATCACCTTGGCCCCGCGGCCCTACAAGATCTGTGCAGTGCCTCGATAGGGAGTGCGGCCACTGTTCTCAGAGGGAGAACTCTCAGCTTTAAATGGCAGCTTTAAATGGTATCCACTGACTGACTCCTCACCAGCTGCCATGGGCCATTGCAACAACAGCCTTACATGTTGTGTTTCTTTTAAAGTAATTGCCAAGTCTCTTCCTTTTACAGGCACATTTTACACACTGTATCAGCTGAAAAAGATTGGTCAGGGCCCTTTTGGGCTTGCAGTCCAGCACTGTCAGTGAATGAGGTACTCAGGACTTTCTTAATTCCATGTATGATGGCCATGCATCACAGCTGTGGATCAGTAGTGGAAGGGAGCAATACAAATAGTGACTGGAAACAGTTTCTACTTTGATCTTAGGAAAACTGTTAGAAGTACACTGATGCCCTGTGACATCTCCCTCTCTTGCACATTAATAAATCCCAATTGAAGCATTTTTGATGTGAAGCATTTTGCAAAGTGATGACCAGCACAGCCTTTTCAGCACTGCCTGCAGTCTCCAGCCGTGCCAGCATTTGGGGCAGCAGGGGGTGGGGTGTAGAGCCATGCTGAGCTTACACAGCACCAGCTCTCCCTTAGCAGAAAGGAGTGCACAGGAATAGCACAGGCCATTTGTGCAGAGCTGATGAATATTCATGATCCAAGCTCTGTGAGCAAACCAGCAGGAAAACCACCAAAGCTGGTGGCTGTGTTCTGCCACACCACTGCAATTAATGCAGTGACAGACACTCAGAGGATGACAGGTGCCATTTCTGACATCCATTTATAGAGCATCTGCAGCTGGTGGTAAAGAAATTGTGGATCCTATTTCCTAGAATAAGCTAAATTCTTTCTCCCCCACTGAATCTTTCCCCCAAACCTGAATCTTCTTCTCCACACCTGGTTAGGAGGCAGCAGGGAAGGTTGAGCTGACACTGCAGAGCTGCCTGGTAAAGAAGAGGAACACCATTTCTCCCACGACTGCATACTGACCAAGCACAGTTCTGTAACACATAGCACAATTCCAGACAACAGTGTGGATGAAGATGATATTTCTGGCACTCGTGGCTTCTGTTTCACAGATCTGTAAGGCAGAGATGTGAGAAAGTTATCTAGGAAACAAACACATTGATACAATACAGGAACCTTGACCAGGTTTCCTACTGGATGCATAATGAGGCCTTCCTGACCCTCTTCTCCCCACTCCCTGGCTGCCACACAGCCACTACTGTGTCCTCCTGCACCCAGCAGCCTTTACTCCCTCCTCCCACACTCAGGAAGGCAGCAGCAGCTCCTCTCTAGCTGAGGGGCTGAAAACATTCACAGCTGACAGCCTCTTTCCTTCCCTTCTCCCTGAAATAAACACCTACATTTCTATTCTTTGATGGGTTAAAATGCTTTTAGGTCCTGCTTCAGAAATGATGAAAACCAATTCTTCCAAATCTGGCCATTCAATTCTCTCTCACTGGCTATTTCCACCAGCTCAAAGTCCCTTCCTTTTCCACAAGATAGTCCCCAGCTCCCCTCCTCATGGAGGATAAGAGACCAAGGTAATAAAAGTGTTTGCTTACATAACAGGCTGCTCAGGCCAAGGATTAGGATACAGACGAGCTCTGGTAAAAACAGGTCAGAAATGAGGACCTTGAAGGAAACTAGGCTCTTTCCTCCTGCTGATCTGCACTCTCCAGTCTTCTTTTCCAAATAATAATGAGCAGAGAGCTGTCCTATTAGGTGTGGCTGAAGAGAGCATGCAGAGATCTGAACTTCTTTAGGTAGCAATAAGCAATTATGTAAGTCATTCAAGAGCTAATTTCTAGCAGCTTTTAACCTTTCCACTTCACCTGCCCAGTTCTCTGATGATTACTAGAGGCAATTAGCTGGACAAGGAAGCAGAACATAAAGCAGGAATGAACTGGGAAGGGCATCACACATCCAATTTGTTGCTGCAAGACAACGATATCCTGTAAGGTAATATTTGATACAGTGTGACTGGAACAGCACACAATTATTTCATAGGCTGCCTAGAAGAACAGATGCTTGCATTAGCTAGGTACCATTAAGGGCATAACTGAGAAAAAAGACACCAATGAATTCATTTTAAAAATCTTTATGTGAATATAAAAGAATCATTTCCAAAGAAATAAACCAAAAACAAGTTTAAAAATTAGTGCAACTTTTCAAGTTCTATGCAATACAGTGTTTACATTTGTTTTCAAACTGACAATGTAGACACTGATACAACATGAAATCTTACCTCTAGCTGGACTAGTGGAGGAAAAGGAAAAAAGCAGGGAAGCCTTAAGAAAATTATTTTACTAGACATTATCAACTCAAACAATTATTTTTGTTTTCTAATTTCTAGACTATGGCTACTTAAAACATTGGTATTGCTTATATTTTTTACTTTCAAGTAAGTGTATATTGTAGAAAATAGAATACCTATATACATATATATTTCATGAAGAAAAACTTAGGTGAAAAATTTATTTTTAGTGACTGTTTCTTAATCCATTACAATACAGTTGTTCTAAAAATCATCTTCTCAAAACTGCTGCCTGATCCACCTTGAGTAAAAGAACCCAACAGCCCTAAATTTCTATTATTGCTACAAAGCACTTCTCCTCCCTTGTGGTTATTTTCTTAGATCTTATGTAAAAGAAAATTGTGAGTTAAATGATATGTCACTTATTTTTGCTTCTCGGGATTCATACTACCCGTTTTACCAGAAACCAACCAGAATTACCAATAGTGCTGATGAAATTCAGCAGTATTCCACAGTGTCACCTCAGATGAATCTGTTCCTAACTGTGAAATCTGGAAATGCACACTGCATCAAAGAGCGTTGGATTGATGTAGTTCTGCTGTTATGTGGCATGTGAAATGTAGCTACAACACAGCAGTTCTACTCATAGCTTTTGTTTCATGTTAATGATGTTAACAATACTTTTATTCCTCTTTGCACACTCAGATGAGGTGAAGTGAATACAACAGTATGGCTTAGATTCAAATAATTATTTCTGTGCATCACTTCCTCATTCACAGAGCATAACCCATAACAGCCACTGTTCTGCAGGTTCCCAAAATTCTAAAGAAACACTAAATAACATTGTATTTACCCATCTAAGTTTTAACAGTTTGAAAAAAAGCCAAGGGAGAAAACTTTCTCCAAATACCTGAACATTTTAAATGTTTGCATCCTCAATAGGTTTACTGGAGACCACTCCTACTCTGAAAAAGCCTTATTCCCATCTGTAATTAGGTATTTAAATTTTTCATTTCTGCTTAGAAGATAAGCTTCTAATTAAATAATACGGAGGTTCTTGGTCATTTTTTGGTCCCAGGGTCCGCAGTTTTGAGAAGAATACAGAGATATTTGCTCCAAGGTTTTCACTATTCAGCACCTGACACGACTACTGACACAGCTCTACTACCGTGAGAAACACCGCATGTACCAAGCCTATTAACTAGATGAGTACTTGAAGGATGTCCAGAGTTTTCATGCTGTAAAGAACAAAAGCTAAGAGACTCATTCAACACCATCAACAACAGGTTCATATTTCACCAGAACACGCTGAAGTACCAGGCTTTAAGAAATGTAAGCATCCTGCTGGGGCTTACTCTCATGTTCTACTGCTCACCACCATCTCCCACACCACCACCAGATTAAACACACAATTGTATCTTAAGAATACAAAAAACAAAACCATCACTGCCACAGTCAAAGACTTCAAAACTCAAGAGGTAGTCAAAGAAGCACAGAGTCCTGAAGAACACAAACTGACAGACACAACTGTTCAAAAGCAGTTTGTTGGAATGTTCTTTGCTCATACAACCCGACCTTTCAGATGAATCTGGCTTTTAAATAATACCTTGTATAGATGTAAGTTTCACGAGAGGAAATCTTTATGCAGTGCTTAGGTGTATAAGACTGTAAGCCATCAACGCTATTAAGAAGCAATGCTTACTAAGTATTAAAAATGAGAAGTTTCCTTTTCTCTGGCATTGCATACAATGCCCAAGAAGGCAGAAGGGAAGGAAGATTGGGAAGGGAAAAATCAAGGAACAAGCCCTACTGAGGGGCACACAAAATGCAAGACTACTCAAAATTCCTAATTCAAACCAAACTCAAAGCAGAAACTTCAATTCTGCAAAACAAAGCTGAACCCAGCTCTCAAATAAAAGATGGCCTTAGTAGTGAAGGTACTCTATGTTTTCAGTGACGAGATTTATAATAGATTACAGACAGGTGCAGCAACCTCACTTGCACACTGTTAAGTGTATTCATTTAAAGGACTGCTATTACTGTTGTTTAACCAGCTACAAAAATTTGTTCTAGACAGTTTGCAAAAAAGGATGGACATAAATTTCTTAGAAATACAGTTCACAAAAAATGGAACACTTTTGCAATAAAGGGACACACACATTCGGAGAAAGGTAGCAACTCCCCCCTCAAGTGTCAGATATCAATCCTGACTTTTCTCCCTCAGTCTTTGCTGCCAAGGATTAGGAAAGCAGCTTTTCACTCACCTGCAGAGCACACTTAGTTCAGAATAATTGCAGTGAAACTACATTTAAAAATGAAGAAAAATAATTTCTATTTCTAAGGTTGTATAAATAGCTGGAAATAAAAGTTTCTTCCTACACCATCTCCACCTGCAGCCTTGTCCCCTCATCCTCCCATGTCTCACAAATGCAGTGCACAGGTACTCCAGACTTTTAAAACACAGCCCAGACTTGAGTTAATACAATAGGTCTTTTTTTCTTTTTTTTTCTTTTTTTTCTAAAACAAAAGCTTATTTGGCTTTGGTGAATTCAACATCTTCAAGGTAGGATTTCCTTAGTGTATATAAGCACTAACTTGACCTTTACTTAAATAGACTGCATAATTGTGTCTCTGACTTGAGATGACAAAGCCTGTCTCCTGTCATACAGGTCAACTAGTAATACAATTTTAAAATTTTGTTTTTAAATAAAAGCAAATATTTTCTTGCTTCTAAAATTGTATTTTATATTATATTATAGAAGAAGTATTTTTAAAGCATGTTACCAATTTTTTAAACTTCATTTTAGAAGAGGCCAGCAAAAATGTCAAATATTGCCAGTTTCCTGAAGTATATTTTTGCATAACATCTTCCTATTACAAAAGTCAAGTCTCTAGTCCAAATAAATTGATTAGTTTTAAATATATAGTGCCAATTTTTATATTTACAATATATCTTCAAGGCAAATATAAATCTTAAGTTGTGCTTGTAAATACATACTGTAGTTATTAAATCTACTTCTATTGTGCTACCTTCTGGATACCACTGATCAAGTTAATCAAGCTAAGTTCTTGATAAATTCTGATGCTGAATTCACAGATGCCCACCACTGTAACATCATCTTTCACCAAATAGTTGAAGTGGAAGGTATAAAACATTTAAGGACACTTAAGCATGTAAGCTTCCCTCACTGTCT